AACCCTGTAGTCACTGAAGACTGTTTAATCATTTCTGACAGCTGCCAGTGGGCGTATGTTACCTTGCCTGGCAAGCTATCTTTTATTAATCAATTACAGGCTCATACAGGAGAGTTGCTACAGCTGCTATGAGGTTAATAAATCGTGATAGACCAAGTTGTTTATATAGTGTTAAAGAAATCAACAACTTTTTATTAGGTGTCAGTACAAAATGGCCAACACTAGCCCTACATTGGAGTAATATATTGATATTACTTAATTATGATAATCAAAAACTTTGGACCCAAATTTTACAGACACCTCAAAAATATCATATAGTAACACCAGGGTAAGTTATATTGCTTATAGTTGGTGCTTGAGTGAGTTTTATTTAGGCTGAAAAAAGTGCCTCTATCATATTCATATGATCTGAAGTATGTTTTCATGATATATATAAAAATTCCTATGGCATTGTTGGACTGTGTTCAACTGATCCACAAACTGTTTTGTTTATGTCATCACAGCAATTTTAATATAAATAATGTAATCTATATTGTAGGAGATACAGTAGTGGAAATCTAGAATCATCTAGAAGATTATTACAATGTTGTAATCTAGAAATATTAAGAAGAGGTGGTTTAATATTATACTGTGATTATGTAGTAAGTATACATTGTTGTTATGATGTGTATGTTAAAAGTATGTGACAATTATGGCCAAACTTTAATGTAGTCTAAGGGTAAAATTATATCATTGTATTTTCTGCGGTGCAAAGTTGGAAACTTATATTCACTTATTTCAGGTAGAGAATTTAAGTAATGCTGAACATATGACCTGGTTAACAGTAAATCATGTTAGTGATCTAATAGAATTAACGTCTGAATCACCAGTTCAAGATTTCATTAGGTAATATTATCTTCTAATCACAAACTGAATCATGTAGATTCAACTGTTCTAAATATGTTCATTAGTCAAATTGTATTATCATGTGTAAATCTTTGCACCTAGCCAAAAGCAATGTATATTTTAGATTTGATATTTTAATAAAGCTTGTTTTCTTAGTTGTCTTTTAGTCCTTAATATATCTTTTAAAAATCAACGGAAAAACAATATTTCAAAATATCTTATATTGTATGCTAAAACTGATATATATTGATATGATTATTTTAGTGCAATACATCGTAACCCAGCAGCAAGTAGTATGTTTGTACAAGCTATAAATTCTAGATGTGATCATGTTACTAGAGTAAGTACTTCATGTAATTATTTGATATTTTATTTATTGATTTCTTTAAGTTCTATTCTGAAGAAAATCATCCATCAGAGAATGATGTATAATTATATCTATCTTTTTCTTGTGACTTTTAAGTTTAAATTAAAAGACTATAGGATTAGCTTTTGACCTTTTCTACCAAAACCCACATTTGTATTCATTGGGAAATAAAGGCCTACAACATCTCTTTTTGTGTTAAAGCTTATTTAATCTAGGCTTCGTTTAGCAACTGTACATAATAAAACCATGAGGCTATTTATATTTCATTTCAGCCATCTCTTATAAGAAAAACATTGAAATCATTAGAAGCTATACATCTGAGTCAAAGTGGTTCACTATTACAATTATTAATAGACAAGTTTCTGAATACACATCAACTATCTATAGCTAGAATGTGTGATACTATAGCTTGTAGAAGAGTAGAGATGTTACTGATAGAATCAGAAGAGGTAAGAAAGTTATTCTAGATACTTCTGAGAATAATTCAATAATGGTTGCTAGTCTCACATCCTACATTAAAATGGTTGTAATGTCTTGCGTCTGCGATGGTTATTTATTAAATTTTAACTGCTGGAAACAGACTATGGATAGCATATGATGTTAACCCATAAACCTTGTGAATATTAGACTGCTCTGCGTTTTTAACAATTCGAAATTTTACGAAACCAACAAATGGATTCTCAAAAAAGCACTGAAAAAGAAGATCATTCTTGTCATACTCCATTTTGGAGTTAAATACATTAAGAACATAAAACAGAATGGTGGCAAACAAACTCTTTATATATACTTTATTAATCAGTTTATGTCACAACTGGATTTCATTAAGAAGAATTGTATTCTTAACAGATCTTGATTTCTAGTATTTTAATTTCAGGAAAGTAAGAAACAGTTGCCACTTGAAGACCTAGATAAACTCTTGCAATTCATGAAAACAAATAATTTGATTAAACGGTAAGGTACTATTTTGGTTTTCAGAATATTGTTCATGTCTTTTGCAATGTGTTGTATTTTCATTCATAAACAATTATAATGTATTACTTGATTTTTAAAGAATTAGCTTATTATAAATAAACTTGTTCTATTTCAGACATGCCCGGTTAGCGTCTTTGTTATCTAAATTTCGTACATTATTTAATGCTGAAAAAGAATTAAATCTTTCACCAGAAAGAACTCATCCTCTAGTATTTACATCAACTAATATTACAGATATTAATATTGATAAGGTTTGTATTTTTTATTCATACATAGTAAATGGCAAATGACTCAAATTTACAGTTATTTCTCCAATTATTTTGCCACATGACAGCAAGGGCAAGCTACTATATGTAACTGAAAGAGAAGTAACTCTTGATTAATCCAGCCCACAATATGACAATTAAAAAAAAAATTTAAATCTGACTTTTCTTTTTCAGGATTTTTATTCTGATGTGGTTAAGGATCAATGTTTTTCTATAGATCCTAATGTGAGAGAATGTGCCTTCTTACTACAGAGACTAGACTATGCAGATGTACTTGCTATTACCATGACAAAGGTAAAATTATGATGTGATTCCAGATGTAATTTTTTATAAACATTATCATTGAAAGTTACTACCAATGATCTCAAAATATTGATTAAAACTAAATGTCCTGAAAACATTTTCATTGAAACTTAATTAAATCTTTATTTGAAAAGTGATACAGACTATAGAGAGCTGAAATTGAGCTTAAGAAGGTGATGAAGTAAACATTCAGACGACTATATCCCTAAACAAACTGTTCATAACATTTTTTAATTCAAAAATTTCCCAACATATTTGTTGATATTTTCATTACAGGAGTTTTGTTTAGAGATATTAGATGAATGTATAGCATTAGGAGCCTATAGATCTATAGTTAGATATAATAGAGATAAAGAAGCATTACCAATTAGTTTTAAACCTGAACCTACTATAGATGAACTGTTTCAAGCTGCCCAGCTAACTATGTTTCGTCATATTAATAATATTATAAATCATCTACCTGTCCCCCACCAATTATTGAGCTATAGTAGAAGACAGACGTCTAAAAACTTACGATATTACGATCGCATTGAAGATTTATTTACTGACTGTACATGGTTTGATATGAATTTTGATCTGGCCACCTCACTGTGTCAGTATTTAGTATGTATAAGAAGATTTCCATGGCCAGCTACTGTACCTCAAGAAGCTGTTTCTGATATCTGTAGATTCTGTGTTCTATGTTTAGAGGTAAGAACTGCCACATAATTTCTATGTGGATATCACCCTGTCTGAACTGTGACAAACTGACAATAGCTTTGTTAGGATGTGTATTTGTGGATAATGATAAGATCATGCGTTTTCTTTTCACTTTGTCACAATATATTCATGAATGCGAAACTGAGAAAAAATGTTCTTCAATTTAAAAATTTTGACCCTTGCTTTAAGAAATGGCTTTGACTGTGGAACGTCTTAAAGATGTTCTTGGTGAAAAGTAACTATCTAAAAGAGTTTTCTTCAATGCTATTTTTGAGAAACTTACATTAAATAGTACTTGTCTCATTTATGCTAAAGTATGAAATGATTTATTTTATTTTTTCAGATGATCAGTTGGCAACTGCACCATAATCAAATGCCTACATCAGAACAATTACAGACATGTTTAGAATGTGTAGCATTAGTATTACAAAATAAAGATTTTACTAATATAATAGGACATAGTGATAGTAGTACTTATGTTAGTTCTATAACATCTGCTGTTTATCAACTCTTATCTTCTTGTAAGTATTTATATACTTGTTACTAAATTTACCTTTGTGTTCAATCTACACACAATATTCTACTAATGAACTCCCCTGGTATAAAGATGTCTCAATAATTTTATAGTATTATTTTAAAAGATAAGAATGAAGCTGTCCTAACTGAATCAAATAAAAAGAAATGAAAGTTTACTTCATACATTTCTGTACCTCATTGAGCTAAAAGAGATTGACATTGTCTTGCAGTGTGCTATGTGGGAAATTTTGCTAGATGGTGACAGGACATTCTCCTTTTACACTACATCATGTTGCTTGTGTTTTTATAAACCATTATAGACTATTATTATAGATTATTATTATAAGTTTTTAATCTAATGAACAAGGTTTTTTTTGTATGAATTTGTTTTTATTTTGATAATTTCAGTGGTTGTATTACCTGGTGAAAAGGTATATTTATTACCAAATAAAGATAGGCTAGATGAACAGGAAGATGATGGTGGGTATATACTGTCTTTGTATTGGCAATCCATTCATAAACAATCTAATACTGTACAATTGTTATATTCAGAAACTTGTTTATTGAAACCTTGATCCGGAGAGACTCGAGAAATTCTTGTCATATTTGCTAATTATGATATTTTATTTCATTATTTCAGAATCTTCACATTTAATAACATCTTGTGATCAGATCTCAGAATTACTACAATGTCTCAAAACAAGATTACGTCCAAAATCATCAGAAACACAGAAATTACCTGAGTTCTTATCTTCACCTATCAGAAATATTGTTACAGGTATTTTACTGGTTTTTACTCTATATTTGTTAATGAAAACGCTTAAAAGATTCAATAATTTAAAATAACAAATAGAAGTCTATATCTGTAAAAATTGTTGTTCTTAGTAAATGTTGCGTTGCTTTAATTTGGAACATCTGAATCATCAATCTGGCAAAATCCAGAGGGGGCTAGCTTGGCTCAGTCAGGGAGATGCTTGCTAATTATATATATACCATTGAGGACCAGGGTTCATTACCTTCCAAGTCCCCTAGGTGACTAGCCCTGTATTTTATTTTAATGGTAAATTGTTTGCAGGTCTTGCCAGATTACCACTAGTCAATTCGTATGCCAGAGTTCCACCATTAGTATGGAAGTTAGGTTGGTCGCCCTCTCCTACTGGTAATTTAAAAACACATCTCCCTCCTGTACCAGTTGATTATTTACAAGAGAAAGATGTATTAGAGGAGTTTGTATTTAGAATCAATACATTAGGTAGGTATATTATATACAATCATACAGAGAGGTGGTCTCATCTGCCATTTCTTTTCTCATTTTGCAATAAGTGCCATGAGTTCATTTTCAAAACTGAAATAAGTCATCATTCATCATCTTTCATCCTATATTCTCTATAGAATTAAGAGTTTTTTTCACTCGATATATTTTGATGATGTAACCTTTATGATGATAAAACTGTTGAACAAAATAGTATATTTTTAGGTTGGATAAGTCGACATCAGTTTGAAGAAACATGGATGAGTTTATTAGGTGTATTAAATCCTGTTACATTAACAGATACACATCAACTGTCAGCTGAGGTAATTTATTTACATCACTTACATAAACAGTGATCCTGGTTGAATTGAAGGTCTATTCATCAGTTGGGATTGAAACACTGTGTGCATTATCAGCTGTGAACTTCAAACTTTCGTCCACTAAAGAAAGTGAAATAAAAGTGTTATAATTATTATAATTGTAGGAAGAAATAGAAAGAACACAAGGAATGGTATTAGCTGTAAAAGCTATAACATCATTATTATTACAGTCTACATTGATACCACAAGCTGGTAACCCTTCTAATAGTGTGTATGAAATCCGTCCTCGAGATAAACCCTTAGCTTTCTTACATACCAGGTATTTTAATTTAAAGATTTATGATGGACATATTTAAGGTGAAGGCACATGAACGGTCCTAGTCAGAGATTTTTGTCTTGTTTAGAGTTTCACCGACTGGCACGGGCACCAGAAGAGACAATAATCTCCAGTAGGTCGTTTTCCACCATTGCGGAGCATGCGATTGAAAGGAAAATGAATCTGATAGGATAATGATGGTCTGTCTTGCAGACGATGAAAAATAAAAACTTGTTTGATATTATAAATCATGTCAGAGACGCGATAATCTTGCCGTGAAAGCATGAGTTTACTCAAGACTCTATAATAAACGACAAAAAAATCCTGCCAAAGACCGCTCATGTACCCTCACTGTTCATTCTAATGTCAGTCCACGGATGCTCATATATGCCCAGGAATATGCTGTTTTCATGAAGTTTAGATTGCATGTACTTTAAAATAAAATAAATGATTCTTGTCTGACCCAACTGCTTGCTGAAGTGAGCGTTTCTGGTTATGGATACACTAGTGAAAATTTAAATGAGAATTAAACAATTTGTCATGTTTATTGCTGCTTAGAAGCCAAGAGTTTAATAGTTTGTCAAACAAACAAATAGTTAAATGAAAATATATGAATTAACAAGTTATATTGTAATTATTAATATTATAGATGTGGTAAAAAACTAGGTATGATAAGAAGTTTAATAGAACAAGAAATCTATAGTTTATGTTGTAATAAATCGGATAGTCAAACACATCATACCCACAGTAAACCTACAAGACGTTTAGACTCATATTTCTGTGAAGATTTATTTGAAGATAATCTAGAGAGGAGGATTGGTTCAGAAGATTTTTCATTAGGACAAGTAGGTTCTTCTTTTTTATTTCTCACTACTCTTAGATAAGTTGGCATAAAGTCAAACAATGACTGCAAAAAAACTCAGTGCGATACCGTGTAATTGTGAATACAATGTTGATTCTTATACCTGTGAGTAAATCTGGAAAAATATCTGTCACTGTTTAGAATGTGCATCCAATCCCTTCTAAAATTAAAAATTTGGCATGAAGCAGACACCATGATATTGAATGGTAATACTTCACTTCTGCCTTATTGTTTATAAAATATTTCTACAATGTATGCTTTTCTTATACTCCTTATGTTTTTAGTGTCATTTTTTAATTAATCAGTTAATTATATGTTAATTGAATATGTGATTTAATTATAGATATCACTAGAAGGAATTTGGTCTGTAGTTGGAAGTTTAGAAACAACTCATTCTGAAAGTGATACAACAGATTCTACAGAGAGCCCACAGCACGATCTAAAGAAACCACATATAGCATTATCTAATATGGAGAGTAAAGATAGATCTATGTCTATTAATGGTCTAGATATTAATTCCTGTTTACAATTTATATCTGAATTATATGGACCTTGGTTATCAACAGAATCTTCTAATAAACCACCTCTCATGTTATTAAATGCTGTAGTTAAATCAGTAAGTAAAGTTATTAGAAAAGCTTATCATTAGTATGTCTAAATAATAAATCAATAGAGGAGTAACGAAAGGCTTAGTGAGTCAGATGCTTGCTTGCTAATCTAAAGGTCATTTTAAAGATCCCCCCGACAGTTGAAAATCGAACAAAGAGTAGGTTTATGCAACAGTTCTGGTAAAATTTCTCTCATTGATAATTGCATGGCTTTATAAGCCCAATAAAGTACAGAAGAAAAGGATGTAAAACTCCATTCATTTCATTTCATATTGCTTCCAAATGAAAGGGAAAAAGACTCATTTTTACTTTGCATTTTTCATGCATTCGATATTATTTAGTGACGTGTTGTAATTATAACAGTGCTTTTCAACCAATTTAATCATATAAACCAATTGCAGTAAATTGGTAAAAATAATTTAGAATTGAATTTGATGGTCACATTTATTTATTTTCAGATGTTAAGTCTGTCTGATTTATTTATGGAAAGAGAACAGTTTGAAATGATGTTAGATACATTTCTAGATTTATATAAACAACACCCATCAGAAGATGAAATATTATTACAATATCTAATAGTGGGTATCTGTAAAGCCTCAGCTGTCATAGGTGTGGTAAGTGGAGTTTTAGTTATCAACTGTATATTTTTCTGATTTCTGAAAACTTCAGATAGAAGGATCCATGAAAGAAGAAAATAAATTGGTCTGGCCTTGTGATGAAAAACAGCTTTAAAGAAATGAGGTTTATAGAAAAACCAAGAATGAATTTTTGCATTTTAGGATTCCTCTACAGCAGAAAGGTTGATAAAAGTAATAGACAGTGGACTGAAATCAACCCATCTACCCAGTAAAGTTTCATCTCTTCATGGTATATTATATATACTAGAAACTAGTACTTCAGACCTTACTAAAACATTACTACCCATTATAACTGAATTCTTAACCAGACATTTATCAGCTGTATCAAAGTAAGTTTATTTGTCTTTATCAGCTTTATCAAAGTAAGCTTATTAGACATTTATCGAGCTTTATCAAAGTAAGTTTATTAGGCATTTATCAGCTTTATCCAAGTAAGTTTATTAGACATTTATCAGCTGTATCAAGGTAAGTTTATTTGTCTTCATCAGCTTTATCAAAGTAAGTTTATTAGGCATTTATCAGCTGTATCAAAGTAAGTTTATTAGACATTTATCAGCTGTATCAAAGTAAGTTTATTAGACATTTATCAGCTGTATCAAAGTAAGTTTATTTGTCATTCATCGGCTTTATCAAAGTAAGCTTATTAGACATTTATGAGCTGTATCAAAGTAAGTTTATTGGGCATTTATCAGCTGTATCAAAGTAAGTATATTAGACATTTATCAGCTGTATCAAAGGAAGTTTATTAGACATTTATCAGCTGTATCAAAGTAGTTTATTAGACATTTATCAGCTGTATCAAAGTAAGTTTATTAGGCATTTATCGGCTTTATCAAAGTAAGTTTATTAGACATTTATCAGCTGTATCAAAGTAAGTTTATTTGTCTTTATCAGCTTTATCAAAGTAAGTTTATGAGACATTTATGGGTTGTATGAAAGTAAGTTTATTAGGCATTTATCAGCTGTATCAAAGTAAGTTTATTAGACATTTATCAGCTGTATCAAAGTAAGTTTATTATGTATTTATAGGCTTTATCAAAGTAAGCTTATTAGACATTTATCAGCTGTATCAAAGTAAGTTTATTAGACATTTATCAGCTTTATCAAAGTAAGTTTATTATGCATTTATAGGCTTTATCAAAGTAAGCTTATTAGACATTTATCAGCTGTATCAAAGTAAGCTTATTAGGCATTTATCAGCTGTATCAAAGTAAGTTTACTAGGCATTTGGCATTTATCAGCTGTATCAAAGTAAGCTTATTAGGCATTTATCAGCTGTATCAAAGTAAATTTATTAGGCAATTGTATATCAATTAATTTTTATTTCAGTGCTTATATTACCAGTGATCAGTTTTTATTGACAATGTGGGCTACAGCATTTTATATACTAGAAAATTATCATGAAGATATTAAAGATGGTGATTTTCCATCAAGAATAATGCAGGTAGAAACAAAAGTTGTTTTATACTTCCCATATAATAACAAAATGATCTGAATGCAAAAACTTACTGGACTGAAACCAATTATAGCAATGATTATGTTGATCATTGTAAGAAGAGTTTGAAGTGATGTATAGTACATCTGATAATAATATGATAATTTGAAATATTTAATTATTTCTAGTTGGTAGTTAGTACAGCATCTTATAATGAAGACAGTGTATCAACTTCTGTATTTCTAACATTAATGAAAGGTTTAGAAAGATTATTATTAGCTGATGTTTTATCTAAAACTGATATTGAGAGTATAGTGAAACTCAGTCTTGATAGGTATGTATGTTATATTTGTTATGCAAGAACAGGCAATGTAGTTTATTGAATTAAGTGGAAACATTGTAGTGTTGAGCATATTAGTACTTTTTGGTGACACAATTTGTCTTTTCAAGAATGATTTTGTGACTTTATACTTGTCTTTGGCATATGATTACTCTATAAGCTCTCTTCCAGAGAACTTGATGCCAGCCTGTGTCTGGATTACATTAAATTTGTATTTGTTTTATTTTTACAGATTATGTTTACCAAGCCCACAAAGAGCTTTGGCAGCATTAGGATTAATGTTTACTTGTATGTATTCAGGTAATGTAAGATTTTAAGAAAATTTGATGATGTTGATTATATTACTTTAATAAATTACAGTTTTTCATTTTTTTATCAGAAAGATTTAACAGTATCAATATTAGATTATAGTGCATGTTATTATTCTGGCAAGACTTAGGCTCATTCCATTGAAAAGTATATTATGCACTTTTTAAACAAATTTTTGATTTATTATTTAGGTAAAAGTGTTGATCAGTATAGTCCTAGACCAAGAGATATGGAGCCATCATTTACAGTATCTTCATTAGATGTTATTTATCAAGATCCTGAATCATTAATATTAGCTATGGAAAGAGTTACAGTTCTTTTTGATAGGTAGGTCATGTTTGACATGTTTTTTTTCCTATCTGAAACACATTTGTCTAACTGATAGATAAGTTTTAACTCGCCTTAATATTTGAAAACATACATGCCTATATTATATTATGTTGTTTTATCATTTGGGGAGAATATTTTGATATTTTAGGACCAACATATTACACTATACTGGTAATTCATGAGTTTTGTCAAGTTTGCATTCCTTGCAGAGGAGCCACCAATAAGTAAAAAAAAATGTAATTAAATATCCAATAGAAATCATTGAAATAAATCAGAGTTGTTAACTATTGTCATGTTTTAATAATATCTGTATTTCAGAATACGTAAAGGTTATCCATATGAAGCTAGAGTTATTACTAGATTACTTCCACCATTCCTGTCTGATTTCTTTCCTCCACAAGATATCATGAATAAAGTTATTGGTGAATTCTTATCTAGTCAACAACCTTACCCCCAGCTTATAGCTAGAGTAGTCTTTCAGGTATAATTGAGAAAAAGAGCAATCAGTCCAACTTAAATTTTGATATGCACATATAAAAATATAGATATACATAATCAGTCCTGTTTTTGATCCATTTTTTTCTCTTGAAACTGGAGTAATTATTTTAATGAAATTTGCCGTGGTCATTTATACCTAATGAAGGGTATTGGACTTATTACCCCTTACTTAGATAAAACATTTCAATCAACTCATTCAACCAGCTACATTACACTTGCAAGAAAATGGCTATTAATAATATATTTGAATTATATTTGTAGGTATTTAATAATCTCCATGTACAGAATGAGGTGAATCTAGTTAGAGATTGGGTTATGTTATCATTATCTAATTTTACACAGAGATCACCAATAGCTATGGCTATCTGGAGTCTTACCAGTTTCTTTATTAGTGCTTCAACTAATTCATGGCTCAAAGCTTTGTATCCTTGTAAATATAAATAATGCCATCTTGCTATAATATTCATTGAATTTTGAACATTCAAATGACCAGGAATGAATGAATATTCAGGAATTTTCCTTCTATACATTCTATTGCTTATTGAAAGGATGAACTTTCTCAATGTAGCATTGGTTTTTGTGTCTGGAAGATTTCAGGACTCATCCAACCCTCTATGCATTTATATTCACTTGGTAAAGTGGAAGTTCTTCGCCAATTAGTAACTGACATACGCTATTTTCAAACCTTGTCTATATTTTAGAATCCTTAACGTTGTTTTAGATTTCCACATGTTGTTGGTAGAATGGGCAAAATGGAAGTTGTTGATAAACGTCTTTTCTGTTTAGCAGCCTTAGACTTTTATAAACAGCTAACAGATGAAAACCAGAAAAGAGCATTTGTATCCACATTCCAGTCTGTGGTCCAACCAGATACACCATATCAAACATTACTGAATTCTTTATCTCCAGTCTAGGTGTGATACAATACATTGAAAATTGTTTCTGATTTTTGTATATGATCATGCATACAAATCATATTTTATTTGTTGAATCATAATAAATTGTTTGGTACTTAATCATATTGATTGATGAAACAAATCAAATCGAGTTGATTTTATACTAGATCATACTTGATTGAAATATCTTGACAGTTTAAGTTGCTTATGAATCGTACTGGATTCAAGAACACGAATGATTCTTATGATTGTGTATAATAATTGTAAATCAAACTAACGCTTAATAACCAATATTGCAGAAGTGATGCCGACTATTAATGTACACATGTATTAATCTGTATATGTGATATATATATATGCAGTGTTGCTTCAAATTATGAAAGTTTCAATATCATTGGAATGCATTCTTGGAAATTTGGCTTATAAATGGTAAATAATGGAATCTAAATTGATTCTTGAAATTATATTCTTGATAAATTATATTCATTATATTTCTTGATTAATATATTATTTAACATTGTTTATTTCAAATATCATTTTCAAATACAAAGTTCTTTCACAAAATTGATCAAATTATTGCATGAAATCACATCCATGGCTTAAATTCTGTAGCTCACTATTGTAAATTATTGTAGTACATCATTTTAATCATAGTATAGTACCTTGAAGTACATGTGCATTATTATGATCATACAACTTTCACTAGAGTACATCATATTTCACTATGAAACATGATTATGATAATACATACATGTATTTCACATGTGCATCATTATGATGATACATATTTCACTATGAAACATGATTATGATAATACATACATGTATTTCATATGTGCATCATCATGATGATACATATTTAACTATGAAACATGATTATGATAATACATACATGTATTTCATATGTGCATCATCATAATGATACATATTTCACTATGAAACATGATTATGATAATACATACATGTATTTCATATGTGCATCATTATAATGATACATATTTCTCTATGAAACATGATTATGATAATACATACATGTATTTCACATGAACATCATCATTATGATCATACATATTTCACTATGGTAGTCCTACACCATTATGATAATACAAATTTTTACCAACTCATAACATACACATTTCTATTTCGACACGCTATGTTTCATTTGTCAACAAGTGTATGTATATACATTATATGTGATAAAGCTGAAATCTATAAAAAAAACAAAAAAAAAAAACTGGTAGTGTCCTTTGTTGTCCTTGAAAAGCCTTAAGAATTGTTACAAAGTGTTGATGACATGGTTGATACATACATATTCTTTAGATATTGAATATTGATATGAATTATATTGTATATGTCTCCACATCTATATTATTGTTATGCATTTTTGTTGTTGTCATAAATAATGAAATTCAGTAACTATGCTAAGTTTTATATGTTGGTATCACAATCATCTATGTTTTGAATGGAATATATCATTAATGTAATTGATGATAATGGGTATAAAATGCTTTCTGAGCATTAAATATACTGGTATAAATCTTAACATTCTTTTTTATAACATTCCTTGTTTTTTTTTGTTTTCTTCACTTTTATTTTTATTTTGAACTGAACTTAGTTGTCATTATAATCTTATAAATCTTCTATTAGAATTACGTTCATAACAAATTAGTGCTACTATTTTGAATTGTTTCATTGGCAACTTTTGTCAAGGTGCATTCTCAAACTTGTAATGGCTTTGTGCCTACAACAGAACAAACTTTTAGGCGTTCAAAAAATTTATCAAACATATATATTCTGTTACTTCTGGATGAATACAAATCATATTGAATTATACGAAAGCAACTGTTTAAATTCTAAACAAAAAAAGTTTGATGAAGAGTAGAAGAAGTGATAATGATCACCAAATCAATCTGTAGTTCAATGATATTTGTTCTTCAATTGATAGTGTTTATGTGTAAAATAAATCATTGATTTATTACAATCTTGATCTCAGAGCACATTGAAGAATCCTAATTGCTGATTGTTAAAGATTTTTTGTTATTATATTAGTATGTATATTTTTGTTGATATTGTTATTTATTGTTTTGTCAAGATTAAGAAAGATGACAGTTCTAGGAAAGAGATAAGCATAGTGTTACAAAATAGATAAATAATAAATTACTTTCAGAAATCTTCCATCAAGCATTGCTACAGTAAAATTTGATATCATATTTCAGAGATTTATTTTAGTGAAATTGGTCTTGTTCATATTTAAAGAGAAAAATACAATGTATAGTTTACATTTACTTTTGCCAAATTTTAGTTTTAATTTAGTAAGTATATACTATACAAGTATATTGTATGATGGTTTGAAATAACCTCTTGTAAGGTATTAGCCAACCGGACATTTGCCAAATATCATATATTGTTATGTATTGTAAATGGAGAAAGGATGTAAATAAGAGTCAGAACTCCATTTACACACATTAAAGTGATTGTAAAGAGGATGTTACTATTAAAATATTTTGTGACAAGTGATGTCACTTAGTTTAAGTGGAATTGCAGGAACCACAGACGTCTTAGTAAAAATTGGAATGGTGCAAATTGAAGCTATCAGTGTCCCCAATATACATAAAAATATTGAAGAAACCTTTTTACAAGCCTTTAAAGAAAATGTATATGTTAAATTTGATGTTTATAACAGTAATGTAAGTTAGCTTTATATATAATAAGATGTATTCAGTTGTGTAAGTTATTTATTGTAAATATATATTGTATAGTGTGCAATATGTTTTATCTATTAGATCTCTATTATTTGAGGTTTATGCACAATAAATAATTCTTTATCATATCTTTTTTATTCACATGTTTGTAAATATGGATAATCTGTTGTCAATTAATTGATTTGAAAAGAGCTCTGGGTGACTAGGACTTGATTGAGAGGAGGGGAGGGGAATGTCTTTTTTTCAGGGGTGATCATATTCATATACATTGTACACCCAGTTATATTTCTCATACTTCAGCCTATATCTATAAAAGTTGTGAATGAAAATATCTTTAACATTTAGATCCTCTGCTGTATAATATAATGCCAGTGTCAGATCTAGTTGTTATGATGGTATGAAACAAGAGGCTCAGTGTGCTACAGGCTGTGCACGTTTCCTCAACAGTTGGAAATCAAAAGTAGGCTAATGCCACTGTCCTAGCAAAAGTACCCTCATTGCACACTGACGTTGCCTGTCTTCATTAGCCCAATTAGGTGCAGAAGAAAAGGAAGTCCATTCATTTCTGCTGTATAATATTTTGAATGTGCATTTGAAATGAATTTCTTGAGAGTACATTCATGAATATTGGTATGTTTTAAAACACACCCAACCCTGCTCTATCATTGTATAAATGACATGTCATGACAATAAGATTGGGATATGTGCCAAATTGTCATAAAACCTTGAATTACATTAAAGGAACCTTTACAAAGTCATGCAACGTCTTAAGATTTGCATTCAAAATAACTGAAAAATATATTATTCTTAAAAATAACATGACTGTATTGCCTCATGTGGTTGTTCAGAGTAATGAATAACCATTATTACAGTCTGTAGCACATGGTATTCTCAGTCCATTGTACTGTTTGAACGAGATGATACTTCCATGTCAGTTAATAATGTATTATCCTATCATTTTATAACCTAGACCTATGTCATATGATATTATAAGATTATTATATTGGTATATAATTCAGTATAGAAATAATTGTTATATAAAATAATACTTATTGAGTATATAGACTTAAAGTATTAACTGATAATCATCGTAACTTTCTAGTCATAAAGTCAGTATAATGGTCAACAATTGAAGAGATTAGTAGATTTACTGTGTGGCATGATGGCTTTGGATAACAATATCAACTCGACAGCTGGGTAAGAATTTTGAACTGTTCCGTATATGTACTCATAAAGAACAAACGAAATAAATGTTGTAGGTAAGAGACAGTTAAGGGTCCAACTTCCGTTGTTGTGTGACAGCAAAATTCCAGCTAGATTTTGAGTAAAAACACACTAGAAAATCAAATATACTATAATTGTACTTCAGTAAATAGTTGCAGGTGTAAATGCGGTGTAAGATTTCCAGTCTGTAGTTAATGCTAGTTCGCACCTTTGTATATTGCCGTAGGTGTGGGGGGACCGTGGACTTGGTTCAACCAGCACCTGTGGCAGTTGAGCCTCTGCATTGTTGAACTTGATCCTATTATCAATAAGGAAAAAATACAGTAAAGGTATAAGTGTGAATTATGAGCTGTTGAAAGGCCTAAGTCTATTTGAAGTAACACTTAAATATTATTTATAAAACATGCAATATAATTTATACTACCAGGTGTATTATGCAGGTGCTCAGTAGGATTTATAGAGTTATTTTCTGTTACGTCAGTTGACAAGTGGTAACAGAAGTCAGCAATGTTTTAAAGTTCCCTACAATGATGTTTCTCCTCCCTTCCAATGAGATGTCCTCCAACTACCACTTTAAAGGTATATTCTTCATTCAATGAGGTGTCCTTCAACTATACCTTCAATATGGTGTTCATCAACTATTCCTTCAATATGGTGTTTATCAACTACCTCTTCAATGAGGTGTTCATCAACTATCCCTTCAATATTGTGTTCATCAACTACCCCTTCAATATGGTGTTCATCAACTACCTCTTCAATGAGGTGTTCATGAACTATCCCTTCAATATGGTGTTCATCAACTATCTCTTCAATATGGTGTTCATCAACTACCCCTTCAATGAGGTGTCCTTTAACTATCCCTTCAATGAGGTGTTAATCAACTATCCCTTCAATATGGTGTTCATCAAATACCCCTTCAATATGGTGTTCATCAACTATCCCTTCAATATGGTGTTAATCAACTATCCCTTCAATATGGTGTTCATCAACTACCCCTTCAATATGGTGTTCATCAACTATCCCTTCAATATGGTGTTAATCAACTATCCCTTCAATGAGGTGTTAATCAACTATCTCTTCAATATGGTGTTCATCAACTACGCCTTCAATGAGGTGTCCTTCAACTACCCCTTCATATGGTCTTCATCAACTATCCCTTCAATATGGTGTTCATCAACTATCCCTTCAATATGGTGTTCATCAACTACCCCTTCAATGAGGTGTCCTTCAACTATCCCTTCAATATAGTGTTCATCAACTATCCATTCAATGAGGTGTTAATCAACTATCCCTTTAATATGGTGTTCATCAACTATCCCTTCAATATGGTGTTCATCAACTATCCCTTCAATATGGTGTTCATCAACTACCCCTTCAATGAGGTGTCCTTCAACTATCCCTTCCATATGGTGTTCATCAACTATCCCTTCAATGAGGTGTTAATCAACTATCCCTTCAATATGGTGTTAATCAACTATCCCTTCAATGAGGTGTTCATCAACTATCTCTTCAATATGGTGTTCATCAACTATCCCTTCAATATGGTGTTCATCAACTATCCCTTCAATATGGTGTTCATCAACTACCCCTTCAATATGGTGTTCTTCAAATACCCCTTCAATAACGTGTCCTTTAAATACCCCTTCAAAGTGGTGTCCCTCGACTATATTTAAATGTTCTTCAAATACCACTCCAATGCATTGCCCATCATCTACCACTTCAATGGTGCGTCCTTTAGCTATACCTTCAATGAGATCCCTCACCAGTCCCTACAATGAGGCGTCCTTCAACTACTACTTCATTAAGACTGGGGTGTCTCCAAAATACCACTTCAACGAGGTGCAATTAAAATACCCTTTCATTGAGGTTTCCTACAGCAATCAATGAGGGACTAGTAATAGTTCAGTGTGGGTAGCTACACATCAATAGAATAATATAGTCATGAGTATAAGTATAATTGATATATGACAATTGGTATGAGAACACAGTCCTATGTCTACTGGCATTGTACTGTTCAATTCAAGCGCCTACACACTTCACCAGACACTCCAAAATCTACTTTAATCCATGTCTTACTAATTTCTATTGAACCTAAAATCCCCATGTCACCCGAATAAATTTATATATATTTATATCATTTGATAAGATTGAAATATATGTATAACCTCATTCTAGGGGTGGGCTGTACAAAAAAAGGGTCAAATCGTGCGATGAATTAAGCCTAAAATGAATCATTGTCGTGTCAGAGTACCCATTGTTAATTACTATAGCTAATAATACTGGTGAAAGTCATAACCATTAGTTTGAAAAGAGAATTTGTACAATAGTCTCTAATATGCATGTTTATTTCATATCGTGCATTCAAACAGGTAAGGTGCTTACTGTATGTTTATTTCTTAACATTTATTTTTTTCTTTTGGATCTAAAGCGGACTCCATGAGGGTGGCTGGCAATTTCCTTTCCGAAGCAATGATTACTATCTGAAGGATATCTTTCTGCTTAATTTGTGTTGTATCTTGAAATCAATGTTTCAAACATTTGAAAACAAAGGTTTATAGGGTTTTTATTTGTTACTCCAGAAAACAATGTGTTTTGCAGTTGCTGGTTCTATTAGTAATATTTTATTCAAGGAACAAAATTATTGATTTGCAAACGGAATGATCAAGCTTGATGACTTTAAGTCGGAATAATTTTGACGTCAATGACTGGTATAAAAATGTCTATTAGAAACTGTAAGGACTTGTGAATTATATATGGATGAACAAGCCCATACAACTTCACAAAACAATTTATCTATATATAATTAATTTTACGTGCGATAGAATGAAATATAACTATAAATGTTATTGTATTAAAAATTAAACTAGATGAAACTGATATGTCCGTAAAGTGATAAAATTTCCTCTGTTCGTGATGTCCGATGCTTATTGTTAAAAGTTCAATTAAAGCACAGGCCCTCCTCTGTTCACGTTTAACAGTTCTTCACAATTTTTGGTATATATTAGAATTTTATTATTTAACTATTGTATTCCGAAAAATAGATTTCGACTAAACGTTTATCCCATGTACCCCGATTTGAACTGTATCAACCGACATTCGCCCTGGATATTCTCGATCTGAACTGATTGATTTGAAGTATTCATATACATTCATGTATTCCCTTTTAGCATATATAGAAATATTCATGCCTCAAAGGGACCGTCCTTTTCGTTATCTGTTGCTTTTCCTGTCTCTGAATTAATCTCCGATTAGTTTTGTCTACTGATCTTTGATAAAGTTCAATTTAATTTAAATGCACGACCAATGTTCATAGTAAATAGGTTTATAAGAGGAAATAGACCGTCGTTAAACTGACAAAAAGTAAGGCTATATAAAAAACGAATCTTTAGTACCAAAAATTCATAATTATCATACGAGGACTAATGTGAGAGACTTTCTAGATGCTCCAACTACGAAATATCTATAATCTGCTAATGATGGAAGGACTTTCGATACCGTTGCTGTCTTTCCGAGTAACAGTTCAGTAACTGGGAGAATGGTGTATTACAAACTTCTGGCAGAGAGAATATCGGCTTGCATGTGTCTGATATAAATAACATTTGATTTGCAGTTAACATATTGATTCTGATACTGCCTACAATAGAACTTAAGACTTATTGTATAATGTGAAGGGAGAAGACTTAATATCAATAATACATTTACATCTACATCTCTACTATAATCAATACATAGAATAACTATCTTTCTTGATATTGGAATACAAAATGGCGACTGGAATAAGTAGGTTACAAATATTGGCTGCCTTAACTAGATATAACGCTTTGTTAAATTCTCATTACATCACAGTGATCCGGAAAGTTGGAGTGTCTGCCCTTGTTGTAACTGTTATTTTGAATTTTAGATTTCAGTCCAATGGATGTCATCAAATTGTCAAGAAATACAGAAGAGCGGATACCAAACAAATATACTCATAGGCCTATACCAACTAGTTTTCAGAAACACTCTGCAAAGAAACCTTGGCCAAAACACAGCACTGAACTCGATCCTAATGACATCCATGGACATTTGAAAGAATGTGTGATTCTTGGAGAACGTGAGGTTTTTTTCCGACTTCTGTGTAACTGCGAAGACTCTTTTTTACATTCCAAAGATCATCGGAATCGCAGTAATATCGATGACATTCTGCGACTTGCCGTTGAAAACGGTCGTTGTGATATGGTCGAAACGTTGCTCGGTCGAGGAGCTGATGTGACCATAAGTGTGAACAAGTTAAGTTTGTTGGAAATAGCTACCAAGTCTCGAGATTTAGATCTAATCAAGGTGTTGGCAAAATACGATGATATCAAAGCTGTAAATGTTCGAGGGGAAAATTTGTTGTTCTCAACCATAATGGCAGAGGAATCGGTGGTGAGTTTAATTCTGTTCATTCTTGTTGGATCTCGTTAGATTCCCAGGACCACACTATAAATATTATAAGTTATTCCATTATATAGAGACATCTTCATTTCAATTTAAAAGCCCTTCAAAACCCGAGAGGCATATTTTTGGAGCATGTTGGCTAACCATAGACTTTTATTTTGTTGTCTGAAAGCTGTATTATATCTTGGTCATGCCTTACTTTCTGTTAAATAAGACCTGAACTGGTCAGAAAAACGATTTGACCATCCATTCTGGAAAACATCAGCTTCTGCATTCGAGCTTCCGTTTCAATTCATCGTAGTGCTGATAGACTCAATTAATAAATAATCCTGTAGTCTCTACAGTCCTAAATCTAGTTGTCTTTCTGACAATATTATATCCCAATACACGAGTCGGTAGCATGACATGAACTCTTATCATTTAGTTATATTCTCACTTCCAGAACACCAATGAAGAAATATTTGATTATTTGTTAAGGGAAGGAGTAGATCCAAATCAATTATCACATAATGGAAAACACCCACTTCATGTTGCTGCGATACAAAGTGTCAAGGCAATTGAGAAACTGTCTAGAACGGGATGTGACGTCAATGTTCAGGACAACATATTGGGCGACACTCCTCTTCATAACGCTTGTAACAGATGCTGTGAAGACAATATAATACCTCTACTCGGATATGGTGCAAATATGAATGCGCTCAATAATCTTGGACAAACGCCTCTCGAAAAACTTTTAGCTGTGGCATCAGGATCGGATTTTCATTCACGGACCAGAAGGGAATTAGCAAAACGTCTTATGGCAATTGGATTCAATGTGATAGAGCCAAAGGAAACACCACAGCGACGTAGAAACAAGGGTGTGGAACTGTATCAAAGACTTCAACAAAATCAAAGTGACATTCTCAGCTTAAAATGTCTGTGTAGAAGAGAAATAAGGAATCATGTCAGTGGTATTAATTTCAATCTAGCAATAAACAAATTAGAAATACCACTGTCTTTAAGACGGTATTTGTGTTTTGTTGATGGAAAATGAGTCAAAACTATGTTTAGTAGGCTTAAATCCCAACGACATATGGTGTTGCTGCTGTGGCCTTATGATATTACTATTAGTCAGCTTTGTTTAGCAAACTCAAATTATAGTATATATAACATCAACTGGTAGTGCAATCATTTAAGAAAAGACGATGATAAAATGGAACTGAGAATGTACAGGTTTCTGCGAATTTGAAATTATATTAGGGAAGATTGCTATTAATATTCAATCTGATTGAAATACATTAACAGTAACATAAAGAGGTTTCTTATTATGCTTTTCACTTTTCGGTACATTGACTGTGTCACTTTAAATCAACCAATCGACCAATCAACTGTTCTGTTCCAAGAAATGACTACGTGTGCGGAATTCTGGTATATTCCTTGTTTAATACGACAGTCATATAGTCAGCCAACTTTTAAAAAGCGTTTTGGATTGGTCAGCATAAACGAAAGGGGCAAAAATTCTAAAAAATGGACACTTATTTCAGAATAATTTGGTCAGGTCGTAGATGATGAGTGAAGTATACTCAAAAAGTAAGGACAAACACAAAGGAAACATATTTATCTGTTCTAATCATTTATCAGTTGGAACTCCATTTGATATGCCTTAAATGCGATAAAATTTAATTGTGATTATGATCAAAATCAAGGGTTGTATATTGGTAAAATATAGAGAGAGATTGTTTTTTCTTTGTTGTATAGCATGATGAAAAGCGTTTGGTTCAAGTATTACGGAGATTGTTAAATGTAATTTATTGATTGGTTACAGAGTAAAATTTAATTGACAACAAAGAAATATTGACATAGATTCAAAAAAAACCTTTGTCAAAACATGGTTAGATCACAAAAAACTTAACATAGATCATAATGACATAATGAGTCTTTCTCATTTTAATGGCTAATTAGTAGATTATTACGTTTAATCTTTGATCCCTGATTGCTTCATTCTTTTAATTTCTTGATTGATTTGAGTGACATCACTCACGTTGTCAATCAAGTGGTTCGTAATAAATACGGTTGTACTTTTGATGTACCATTCACACATCGAACAGCATTTTAACATGGTGAGTTCAACATAAAATTCTCTTTTCAAATAAATGTAATATGTTCTTAGCAGTCAAATAGTCTCCTCGGCTTCATCTGGAAGCGGACTATATATGGTCATCTACCAAATTACCAACCGTGCTGTCAAGAATACTCATGGTTAAAATAATCCCAATACTACGCAGATATATCTTTATCGATGCCAATATATTTTGGAACAATTATGTAATTACGTACCTTTATGCATTCCAGGCTACTAGCAGTACTCCACAATCAAGTCCTTCCAGCTCCACAGGATCGTCACCACCACCAACTCCGGAAAATCCTTGTTATCCTTATCCCGTAGCTATGTATTATAATCCATGGAACGCCTACCAAGTCGATCCATACTATGCTTCCAACCCATCTAGCATGACAATGTGCGGTATACCCATGCATTATCCCATGCTTCCACATATGATGCCACCTTCAATAACTGGTGGAGTGACATCACAACCAAAAATCGCGTACCCAACTACAGAATCGAAGACGACATTAGTTAATACTAAGTTATCTCCCATCAAAGAAGATTCCAATTTAAATTCAAAATCTTTAAACAATAGCCCAGAATCTAGAGGTAACAGAACCAACTATTCCAGAAAACAGATTGAAGTGTTAGAGCGTATGTTTAGCTTTAAGGCGTATCCCGATCCAGAAAACTTCGAGAGATTAGAAAAAGAGCTGGGCATCGCCATGAAATCCATTAAGGTAAGCTGGATCTATAATACTCAAGTAAGCTACAATATAAGAAAAACAAAATTATGGACCATGTGAACACAAAATGGTTACAGCTTAGTTAACCCGTGTCATATTTTTTTTCTTGTAAATTTATTTATATCATCTTGTTAATTTTCCAGGTCTGGTTTCAAAATAAGAGAGCCAGAAGCAGAAAAAGAGTTGGGGGTCAGACAGTTTTTGCCACAAAGATTCTTCAATCATCCTTACCGTCACCAATTACACGTTCACCAACAGCTGACCTACTATCTAAGCCATCGTCACCACCAACATCAGTGCATTCAATTAAGTCAGAGTCGGGATCTATTAATCAACCCACGAAATCCATATCACCAAATAGCTCACAACCATCACCGGCTATGTTACTACCAACACCAGGACAACCACCTATGATGCCACCAATGCCACATTTTCCAGGTTACATGCCATATCCTATGTTTACTTACCCGTATATGTATTCACAATGTAGATAATATTGTTTTGTTACGGTATATATTCAGTGCTATTGTTACTATTTAAATAAAGTGTTACCATCAAAAGCTTAATCTTCGTAAAAATGTAGACTGGGTCCCACACGATATATTAGTATAATTATAGTGTCTATACGAAGATGAAACAAATGGGGATTGTGATAAATAATTGAATATCAGTATAATGAATCTACAGTACATGTCACGTTACTGACAGGAGTGAAACCTTATTGTGATGTTAGTGGTAAATCATTTAATATCAGTATAATGATTCTACAGTACATGGCAAGTTACTAACAGGAGAGAAACCTTATCATTGTGATGTTTGAGGTAAATCATTTAATATCAGTATAATGATTCTACAGTAATCGGCAAGTTACTGACAGGAGAGAAACCTTATCATTGTGATGTTAGTGGTAAATCATTTATTATCAGTATAATGATTCTACAGTAATCGGCAAGTTACTAACAGGAGAGAAACCTTATAATTGATTATTTAATATCAGTATAATGATTGTATAATACTCACCAAGTTACTGACAGCAGAGAAACCTTATCATTGTGATGTTAGTGGTAAATCATTTAATATCAGTATAATGATTCTACAGTAATCGGCAAGTTACTGACAGGAGAGAAACCTTATCATTGTGATGTTAGTGGTAAATCATTTATTATCAGTATAATGATTCTACAGTAATCGGCAAGTTACTAACAGGAGAGAAACCTTATAATTGATTATTTAATATCAGTATAATGATTGTATAATACTCACCAAGTTACTGACAGCAGAGAAACCTTATCATTGTGATGTTAGTGGTAAATCATTTAATATCAGTATAATGATTCTACAGTAATCGGCAAGTTACTGACAGGAGAGAAACCTTATCACTGTGATGCTTGTGGTAAATCATTTAATATCAGTATAATGATTCTACAGTAATCGGCAAGTTACTGACAGGAAAGAAACCTTATCACTGTGATGCTTGTGGTAAATCATTTAATATCAGTATAATGATTCTACAGTAATCGGCAAGTTACTGACAGGAAAGAAACCTTATCATGTGATGCTTGTGGTAAATCATTTAATATCAGTATAATGATTCTACAGTACATGGCAAGTTACTAACAGGAGAGAAACCTTATCATTGTGATGTTAGTGGTAAATCATTTAACATCAGTATAATGATTCTACAGTACATGGCAAGTTACTGACAGGAGAGAAACCTTATAATTGTGATTATTTAATATCAGTATAATGATTGTATAATACTCACCAAGTTACTAACAGGAGAGAAACCTTATCATTGTGATGTTAGTGGTAAATCATTGAATATCAGTATAATGATTCTACAGTAATCGGCAAGTTACTGACAGGAGAGAAACCTTATCATTATGATGCTTGTGGTAAATCATTTAATATCAGTATAACGATTCTACAGTACATGGCAAGTTACTGACAGGAGAGAAACTTTATCATTATGATGCTTGTGGTAAATCATTTAATATCAGTATATTGATTATACATTACACGGCAAGTTACTGATAAGAGTCGAAGAGAGAAACCTTATCATAATGATGTTTGAGGTAAATCATTTAATGTCAGAACAATGATCCTACAGTACATTACTGGCAAGAGAAACGTTATTAAAGTGATGTTTGAGGTAAATCATTTAATATCAGTATTCTATAGTAACTGACGGGAGAGAAACCTTATTAATTTGTGGCAAATGATTTATTCATAAAACGTTATGTTTATTTTAAATGGACTTGGAAGAACCACAGACTTATAGAAATTTAGAATACACTACAACCTCTTGCATTAAAGGGGGAATGGATGTATCCTGCGACCTGTAGAGACTAAAACATCACAGCTTATAGAGCTTTTTATGGGACAAGACGTAGGTTGATAACGTATATTATAAAAGGACATTTTTTGGAAATTGCAATAGGAGCTATTTCTCTATTGGCTGTACAATATTATTAAACGATTAGTTGATAATGTTAGCTACAACTTGACTGTAGTATTTTTTGATGTGATTTACGAGGCGATGTTTACGGGAAATTGTGTGTCAACAGACCGGACAAACAGGAACAGTATGTATGTTTTACGTGCTCTGTGAGACCACCTTTGGTTTGATAAACATTTCACACAGTTCACACCTCCAAACTGACTTCTGGTTAATCTACAAAATACAAACATTATTCAGATATCAATATATAAAATTATATCATTAAAACCTAAAAGATGTACACAGATAGCAGAAATATTCAATAATGCAAACGGATAACAGTATCCATGTAACCTCAAATATTAGTCGATATTTAACAACCAATACTACAATAACCGAGAAAGATAATAGTAAACAGATGACATTTTATACCCAAATAGCAACTCAATAGTAGTATCATAAACAGATAACTTATAGGCCTACTGTTTATATTTGAAAAAATCATCATTAAACATAAATGCCAAAACATTAACATACAGATAAAAATCAATATTTATTGACAGATAACAATTACAGCGCGGAACGATATAACAAGACAGATAACAAATTTTACAGTCCAACATTCCAAAATTGGCTAATAATCACACACAAAAATATTAAAGAGCAAATTACATTACTGGATGACAGGTGAATGGTATTTATCAGTATGGTGTTTTAAATTTAATTTCCTTGTAAATTCCTTCTCACAAAACTGACATGGAAATCGTCTCTGCATATGTGATGACTGGAAATGTCGTTTTAAGCTTTCCTTTGTAGAATGACCACAACCACAGACCATGCATATATATTTACCATCCATATGAAAATTTATCTGCAGAATAAATATAATACATAATTACTTGAAGACAATAGAATAACGTAACAATTATGTACGGATACGTAACGTTGTGATTATATTAACGAGTGGTTGCCTAGTAAGATACAACCACTACCCTGATAAATTTTCAGTATATCAAGGGCAGTCGCCAAACTATCAAATCGTACCAAAAATCTAAATTGTCAAAGATATTGTTGATTTAATCAAAAAAACAAAATTTAAACAAATTCTGACATCATTATAAATATTCACACCAAATTTCATTTAAATCGAATGAAAACTGTAGTCTCTATTGTGTTCACAAACAAATTTTGACGCGTTTTTCATAAGGTTAAGGCAATAACTCAAAAACCGTTCGTCGAAAGATAGTCAAATTCGAACTTATCAGGAAACAAGTGGTTGCAAGATACGTCCACTTCCTTGATACATTTTCAGTATATCAAGGGCGGTCAAGTCGAACCAAAATCTAATTTGTCTAAGATATTGTTCATTTAAACAAACACACAAAATTTAATACAATTTTGACATAAACTGTCGCCTCTATCGCGTTCACAAGCCAACAATGATGCGTTTTTACTAAGTCAAGGGCAATTACTCAAATTCCCTTGATCGAAAAATCGTCAAATTTGAACTTGTCCAAGATCTCATCATTATAAATGATTACACCATATTTCATTTAAATCGAATGAAAACTGCAGTCTCTATTGTGTTTACAAACAAATTTTGACGCGTTTTCCTTAGTCAAGGGCAATAACTAAAAAACCGTTAATCGAAAGATCAAATTCGAACTTGACCAAGATCTCATGAATATAAATTATCACACCAAATTTCATTAAAATCAAATAAAAACTGTTGACTGTAGCTAATTGTGGACGGACGGACAGGGGTGACGACAATATACGACCACATTATAATGTGGGCGTATAAAAACGCATCTTTGTAGGTGTGGAAAATCCCCATTAAATAGGGTGTATTTTTCTGACTTTACTGCAGTCGATAACTGTCAAATTTTCCATCAGGGACTGGAATAGAGTCAGATGTTTCGGACTAGAGTTAATTGAACAATTTGAACAAAGGATCATTTGATGATAAACGTAAACCTATGTTATAAATGAAGAAGTTTGTCAGTCATAACCTAGTCCGTTCCCTTATAATCCGTGAGCTGGAGGAGCTCACCTGGCACCACCCCACTACAGACCGAAATTATATTTCTCTGAAACCTCAAAATATCTTCTTTCAGAATATACATGATAAATTGGGACTCACTAAAAATTCACATCGAAGGTAGGTACTAGGGTATAAAATTTTGAGACCCAATTTAACATCGGATCAATTGGGACTCACTAAAACAAAATTCACATCGAAGGTAGGTACTAGGGTATAAAATTTGGAGACCCAATTTAGCGACTAATGAATGAAAAATATGCAAAAAAATGTTCAGAATTAACCAATTTGATAAATATTTGAACCGTTTTACCAGAGCCTATATAGGATAGTGTTGGGATATATCTATTTGTACGCATCACCCTCTGCTTAGATATTTGGTTTGCAACAACTTCATCAGATGTTCAGGCCCAGTTCCCCATTTTAATAAACAACCCATTGAATAACCTAAATTGTTTGTCATGGAATCATATGTTTGTAAAAGAATTAATGCTCCAATAAAAAAATTTCTTGTCATGAACAATTTGCAAGATACATTGCAAATACAAATTTACATTGCAAGCTAAAGGTGTGGCTGTTGCTATGGAAACCAAAATATTTAATTTGAAACAAGGTTAAAATCATACCCAAATATGAAATATCTGCTTATATTTTTAAGGTATTATATTAAATATTAGTAAGACCGAATTGGAACTAAAATACTCAACGAATTTCACGTCATCCCTGCTTTGACGTTAATTATAGTGACGTCATAATAGTATCAATTAAACAAATTTTAAAGGTTTTTCTGATGAGATAAAATTCATTTTGGGGGGTTAAAATAAGACTAATTCATGATGTTTTTCAATTTGTTATCAATCTGAATATATAATTAAAAAACATGCAGTCATTTCAGATTGCCTCAAAAATCTGATTGTTTGGGCAAAAAATGACGCTTACGTGAATAATGAAGTCAATCACAAATTGATGCTTATCAAATATCGAGAAAAACGATTCAATTAATTATCAAATTGGTTAGTTCTGAAAAAAGTTTTGCATATTTTTCATTCATCAGTTGCTAAATTGGGTCTCCAAATGTTATACCCTAGTACCTACCTTCGATGTGAAATATTTGTTAGTGAGTCCCAATTTATCCAATGTTAACATGAATATTCTGAACAAATACATTTTGAGGTTTCAGATAAATATAGTTTCGGTCTGTGGTAGGGGTGGTGTCAGGTGAGCTCCTCCAGCCCACGGACTATTACCAATATATCTGCCCAATCATGATCCTGACGTTATTTCTCGTTACACCCAGGGAAGGAACTCTTGGTCATTAGACGGTAACAAATCTTTGTGGTGATTTTTAACATGGACAGCTAAAACATCTCGTCTTGAAAACACCTTTTTACATACTGGGCACATAGATTTATCTTTCAGATGCGAACTGCGAATATGCCTGTTGAGATTGAACTTAGTAGAAAAAGATTTGTTACAAAAATCGCAGAAAACCCTTTCTTCAACCTAAAATTAAAAGAAAAGCATCATTAGTAAAATCACGATTTTCCTCAGATACTACGCGTTCCTTCATCCTCGTATATTGCTAAATGAAAATGCAGATACTAATAATTAATATTTGATTAATACAGAACTTAAAATTAAAACACTATCAAAACTCACTGATTCATAAATTGCAACCCATATCTATATGTTACAGTTTTATCAAATGGTTGTATAAAAGGTGACATAGTGATATATGTTACAGTTTAATCAGATGGTTGTATAAAAAATTAACAACTCTTAATCTACTGTCTAATCAGATGATTGTATAAAACGTGACAACTCTTATGCTACTGTCTCATCAGTTGGTTGTAGCCTATAAAAGGTGACAAGTCTTACACCACTGTCTAATCAGTTGGTTGTAGCCTATAAATGATGAAAAGTCTTATGCTACAGTCTAATCGGTTGTATAAAAGAACTTGTTCTACTAATAGGTTGGTTGTAGCCTAAAAAGGTGACAAGTCTTATGTTACAGCCTGATTAGTTGGTTGTATAAAAGGTCTTGTTCTACTAATAGGTTGGTTGTAGCCTAAAAAGGTGACAAGTCTTATGCTACAGCCTGATTAGTTGGTTGTATAAAAGGTCTTGTTCTACTAATAGGTTGGTTGTAGCCTATAAAAGGTGACAAGTCTTATGCTACAGCCTGATCAGTTGGTTGTATAAAAGGTCTTGTTCTACTAATAGGTTGGTTGTAGCCTATAAAAGGTGACAAGTCTTATGCTACTGCCTAATTAGTTGGTTGTATAAAAGGTCTTGTTCTACTAATAGGTTGGTTGTAGCCTATAAAAGGTGACAAGTCTTATGCTACAGTCTAATCAGTTGGTTGTATAAAAGGTCTTGTTCTACTAATTAGTTGGTTGTAGCCTATAAAAGGTGAGAAGTTTTATGCTACAGTCTTATCAGTTGGTTGTATAAAAGGTCTTGTTCTACTAATATGTTGGTTGTAGCCTATAAAAGGTGACAAGTCTTATGCTACAGTCTTATCAGTTGGTTGTATAAAAGGTCTTGTTCTACTAATAGGTTGGTTGTAGCTTATAAAAGGTAACAAGTCTTATGCTACAGTCTAATTAGTTGGTTGTATAAAAGGTCTTGTTCTACTAATTAGTTGGTTGTAGCCTATAAAAGGTGACAAGTCTATATGTTACAGTCTAATCAGTTGGTTGTATAAAAGTTCTTCTTCTACTTATAGGTTGGTTGTAGCCTATAAAAGGTGACAAGTCTTATGCTATAGCCTAATTAGTTGGTTGTATAAAAGGTCTTCTTCTACTAATTAGTTGGTTGTAGCCTATAAAAGGTGACAAGTCTTATGCTACAGTCTTATCAGTTGGTTGTATTAAAGGTCTTGTTCTATTAATAGGTTGGTTGTAGCCTATAAAAGGTGACAAGTCTTATGCCACAGTCTTATTAGTTGGTTGTATAAAAGGTCTTGTTCTACTAATTAGTTGATTGTAGCCTATAAAAGGTGAGAAGTCTTATGCTACAGTCTTATCAGTTGGTTGTATAAAAGGTCTTGTTCTACTAATAGGTTGGTTGTAGCCTATAAAAGGTGACAAGTCTTATGCTACAGTCTTATCAGTTGGTTGTATAAAAGGTCTTGTTCTAGTAATTAGTTCGTTGTAGCCTATAAAAGGTGACAAGTCTATATGTTACAGTCTAATCAGTTGGTTGTATAAAAGGTCTTGTTCTACTAATAGGTTGGTTGTAGCCTATAAAAGGTGACAAGTCTTATGCTATAGCCTAATTAGTTGGTTGTATAAAAGGTCTTGTTCTACTAATAGTTTGGTTGTAGCCTATAAAAGGTGACATGTCTTATGCTACAGCCTAATTAGTTGGTTGTATAAAAGGTCTTGTTCTACTAATTAGTTGGTTGTAGCCTATAAAAGGTGACAAGTCTTATGCTACAGTCTAATTAGTTGGTTGTATAAAAGGTCTTGTTCTACTAATAGGTTGGTTGTAGCCTATAAAAGGTGACAAGTCTTATGCTACAGTCTAATTAGTTGGTTGTGTAAAAGGTCTTGTTCTACTAATTAGTTGGTTGTATAAAAGGTCTTGTTCTACTGTCTTATCAGTTGGATGTATAAAAGGTAAGAAGTTTCATGCTACATTTTAATCAATTGGTTATATAAAAGATACGAGTCTATATGTTACAGTTTAATCAGATAGTTGTATAAAAAGGACAAAACATGAATTCAGTCAAATCAGGTGTTCACTTGACAAATATACATTTAAAAAATTAAATTTAAAATTCTATATTTTCCATCTAATCAGTTGGTTGTATTTGAGACGTATGGTCACAATGCTGACTTCGTATATGATAAGACAATGAATCTTGACGAGTGAATATCTTATCACATAATTCGCACATATATCTAAAATGCATGTGTGTACTCCTAATATGTCTATCCATGTGACATTTCCACTTAAATGATTTATAACATGTTGGGCATACATGTCTGGAATCATCTTTCATCACCTACAAAATACAGCATAATTCATTCAGATCATATTAAACATATATTGCCCTTGGCATACACAGTTTCTAGTAATGGTATGAACATGCAACAATAAAAGTGCATGAGGAAAGGGAAGCATAGTATAATTTCAATTTTCTCTAGTGAAATAATTAAATGATGCTTTTTAACATTTCAGAAAATTTTTATCATTCACAATATGTTCTTCGCAGTATGGTTAGCAAAATTAATGCCTATTTATTGATAACTCGCCTTTTACTTGATTCACTTGAGTGATTGCTTTGTATTCATAACATGAAACTCTATGAAATGAAAACATCAAGTTTGTATGAAAATCTTTATTAGAAAACCACTATATCATGCTATATACATGTACAAGCAAATCATGTCCACAGAATCACAACATCCACATGAAAAGTTTTACTACAAAGGATACCACCTCTTAGAATGGACATAAAGTTTAATGTCTCAAACTTGGTCAACAAGTGTTTGTATTCATCAAATGAAATGAATGGAGTTTTACGTCCTACTTTTCTGCACCATGTGGGCTAATGAAGACGGGTATGTATTCATCAGTTGAACTTACCAGATAACATGACTGAAGAATAGAATCTCTATATAAGACATATATATGTATCCATTAAACTAAGTAATTATTGCTTCTAAGCATGTTTAAAAATTACCTAGTTTAAATCAATTATTACTTAGTTTAATGATTTATTACTTAGTTTAATGAACAGTTACTTCGTTTAATGATTTATTACTTAGTTTAATGAATTATTACTTAGTTTAATGAATTGTTAATGAATTGTTACTTAGTTTAATGAATTGTTACTTAGTTTAATGAATTATTAGATAGTTTAATGAATTAATGAATTATTAGATAGTTTAATGAATTATTAGATAGTTTAATGAATTATTAGATAGTTTAATGAATTATTAGTTGATTTAATGATTTATTAGATAGTTTAATGAATTATTACTTAGTTTTTGGATTAAAGATGGATTCTGTACTATAATTATGACACAAAGTAAATCCACTGATGAACAAAGACTCATTTTATCCAGGTTTTAAGATTTAAATTTTTCGGTCATCATAAGAGGAGGTATATCTTTAAAAAACATCTTTTATAAAGCTTTTTGGATAAAAATATGTCTTATATAATATCTCTCTGTCTTTAAAAACTTCCTAATATCTTATTTTTCATCAAGAATTTTTATCTTTACATTTCATTAAGTATATTTCAAGTATATTTCAAGTATATTTAAGTATATTTTAAGTATATTTTAAGAAAGCTGGATCATGTGAAAGTTGTAGTGATTGTATTATTTCACTACCATCACTAGGAACATCATCTGGTATATTATGACATGTCCGATAGTGTAAGTGCATTTTGTCCTTTCTGGTGAACAATTTCTGACATATTGGACATTTGTATCGAACATTAAGATGTGCAGATTTAAAATGCCTTTGTAAATGAACTTTCCGACCATATCTCTTCTCACAACAAACACATTTATAAGCATTATCTTCAGAATAAATCTAAAATATAAAAAGTGTACTTAATTTCAATTTGCTCTAATAATGTTCCTACATTGATTCAGAACATTGGATAATTGGATTACGATTTACAACTGATCAATACGCTACCATAACAAGAGACATTATCATTGATTTATGTACTTCCAAAAATGATTAATTATTGCCAATGACAACTGTTTTATATGCTACTAGAACTGATTAATGGATTATGACTGATGTGCTACTAAACAGATTGTTGAGACACTATAAAAGATTATGTGCTACCAGAACTGAAATATTTTTTTTATTTTATGATTTTCAACTGATTTATGTGCACCAGAAGTGATTACTTTTTTTATGATTGACAACTGATTGATGTGCTACCATAACAGATTGACAACTGATTTATGTGCACCAGAACTGATTAATTTACTATTGACAACTGATTGATGTGCTACCATAACAAATTGATGAAACACCACAGCAGAATGATGTACTACCAGAATAGATTGACAACTTATTAATGTACCACCAGAACTATTTAATTTGTTTACAATTAACAACAGATTGGTGTGCTACCAGAAATTATTGCGATTGACAACTGATTTAAATGCTACCAGAAGTGATTAATAGAATTAACAACTTATTGATGTGCTACCAAAGTACATTACAGGGATACCATAACATTAACAGATTTATGTGCTGCCAGAACTGATTAATTATTGCAATTGATAACTTTTATTCATACGCTACCAGAACACATTGATGGAGTACGATTGACAACTAATTGATGCTACTTGGCTAGACTCATGATACCTATTGATAAGAATGATCTGATATAAATTATATCTGTTTGATGTGCTACTAGTCAGACTATTGGGACATAACCAATTCATGTGCTACCAGATCTGACTGATGCACTACCATAACTGATTCATGTTCTATCAGAACTGAATGAAGACTACACTGTAACTGTCCATTACATAGAATATTATAACACATAATAGAATGAAAATGTAATAAGAAATGGCAACATACTAAAATATTTATGAATGTGGTCCATGATATCTTTCCATATGCACTTTTAACATATCTTTTCTTGAAAATTCCTTTTGACAAATTCCACATGTAACTTTACAATTTAAATGTACTTCTCTAACATGTCGATTTAATGCCCATTTGTATTTTATTTGTTTTTGACAGATCATACATTGATGGAATATCTACAAATAAAAAAATCAAACAGTTAAGATAATGAATATAACATATAACATGTATGATATGACAAAACTATATGTTTTAAAGCAATATTTCTACATCTTTATAATTTGCAATAAAGGAAATGAATAATAAATAATGTGTAATCCAATAAAGTGCAGTATAAGCTGTGAAATGTTTCTTAACAACTGGTGTTATAAAGAAGGAATCCTGTATAATTATAAACATGAACAATTTTCACCAAAATTACATCTTTTAATTCAAACTACTTGCAGTAAAAATTCAAGCTAGAAAATTTATATCCTAACCTATAGCTATATGAATGAACTTTTTGTGAATTTGAATATCCATCTCTGTCATGATTGTGAACATCTATGTGCTATAATCCCTGCTCCCTTATAAAGTTTGAGCATTTCTTCAGTAGGCAAGTCAATTTGTATGAAGAAAAATCATTCACATCTAATAAAACTCATCTTAAGATGGGCTAAGTAAGGCCAACTGGTGATTCCAATTGGATCTATTGCAGTCGACACATGGCAAGATATTGACTCACACAGATTTCGACCGCCAAGAGCAACTGATGTGAACTGACTGTAACTGCAAATATTAAGTCCAGCAATTGATCAGATTAAGCCAAAATTTTTCTTCTGCATTTCTTTTGACCTCGATACTGATATTTGGGATGTCAAGAGAAAACCAAATCTCTTACAAAAGAGTAACAAATATCTAATTCATAATTTTATTCTGGTCTACAGAAAGCTGTTAGTACAAGATTGAAGTTAAAACAACATTTACAGATCAACTAGACACAAATATTTCAGAGCTTAATCCCATGAACTGATCTTAAATGGACCCTCAAATTTTGTCGAACATTAAAAGATTTTTGACAAATAGGACAATATTCACGATAATCAAGATGAATGCCATCGACATGACGTTTTAAATGATGTGATCTTTTAAAACCAGAACCACAAAATGAACAAATAAACTTTCTTTCCTGATCATCAACCTACAAAATATAAAATTATACTTGAATTTATAAATCAAAATAACACTATAATACAAGACAGCAATATAAAAATCCAGACAAACAATAGTAAAATACTTGTAGTGTAATATTATATATTTGCAGTATGAGTAAAGGGTTACTAAAAATTTTGTCTGGGTGGTGCCAAATATAACAACCAATATGTTGCATACAATATGTTTTTCAAATATCAAAACTACATATATAATTATTCATTACAATATAAACTAATTTAACTGTTCTTATAAAATATATCTCTATGAACTGTTCTTAAATGAACATTCAGGTTCTCCTTCAAATTAAAAGGCCTGTCACAAATTGGACAATTTATTCTGAAATTTGTGTGTATGCTTGTAACATGTCTTTTTAAATGGTATGCCCTCTTGAAACTATTACCACAGAAAACACATTCAAACTTTCTATCACTTTCAACCTATAAAGATATATAAGATAAGTATTAACTGATCAGTCATAAAGGTTCTTATACATGTATCATGCAGTAATACAGATATTTTTAACAATGAATTTATCTTCATTCTTTTGAAGTTGTTATGTTGTTTAACAATATTCAGTCACATGTGAAGGAACTTCACACAAGAACACCAATGAATTGCCATATATGGCTAACATAGTTTCAATAAATCTATTTCATAACAAGGTAATTAGGTCTTTATGTCATTGCTTGACTATACGAAATACATTAGACCACTTTTTACATATCTTAAGTACATCTACTATATTATGGCTCTAGAATGAATCTCTACTATTAAATGGTCGTCCACAGAGAGGACAATAACAGAACCAGTCATTATGGATAAATAGTTCTATCTCCTGAAACTAGCGCTATAATAACCACATATCTAGTTCCTTCCATTGTTACTTAACTACAAAGAGCCACTTTTTGCATTCAGCTTTGTTACTCAATAGGTTTGTCTTCTTGTTAAAAATATACAAGTATGTAGACATCAACAAAAACTTGGTGAGGTTGTAAGTATTTTCTTTGAAACTGTTTGGTAAATATGTAATGAATTTGACATCTTCAACCAATAAGATTACAGTATTTTCTGTTTATTAAGAAATAAGGCAGGATTTTATTATTGATTGGTAATCTGGATAAGGTTTCAACTACAACTATAGTTTTAAGGTTATTTTACTAAGAGGAATCCCTTTCTACATGTAATACTGAAGTAATTCCCTGCATTTAATGGAAAGAAGAAGGATCAATTTTATGGACATTTTTCACATGACTTCTCAAGTTATCTTTTTGATTAAAAGCTTTGTGACATATAGGGCAGTTAATCTTGTAATCGAAATGGATTCCGGCAATGTGTCGCTTTAAATGATCTGATCTCTTGAAAGCAGCCTGACAGTAACTACATTGGAATTTCCTATCAGTATAATGGATGACCTAGAAAAAAAAAAGAATAATGTTTAGATCTACACAGAAAACTACACATTTATTCATTACAAAATTTTTAATCTATTCAAACTTATCATACATTGCAGAGAAGATTAACATAACCTGATTAATCCTGACAAAAACTAAATATCTATCCATTGAAAACTGTTGTATAGTATGGTTTGTTTAGGTTATAGTAAGGTGTTCTAAAACTCAGATTAACTAAAATATCTGTAATTGACAGAAAGCAATACACAAATTGCTATATTTATTTGGTAAACACTGTTGATATTAACTATCTGAAAGCAACACCGGTGTATAACAGTCTTCTTAGGTCACACAAACTTGAGGAGTCAATGTTTACCATTTGACTTGCATCATATATTTGTGCAGTTACTTCCACCAACATCACTGTTACCAAAATCTATAATATGATCAAATTACACACTGCTGTGACAGTATAAAGTTATTTATACCAGATAATATCAGCTTTTCTATGTTATACATATTTCTTCATCCTAATATATACATAGGCATATACAACTGCTAGCTTTTGCTCCAAAAAACATTTTTCCTATGTGGACCCTCCAAAAGAAATTGACATCATAATTGGGTTTCTTTAGTATGATAAATCAAATATAAGAACTTGCAATATTTATTCCATAAAAAATTGAAAAATGGACACAAAGATTAAAAGCACATTGACAAAAAAATAATTCATAAGACTTTGAAGGTATAATTGCACATTACTTAGAAAAACTATTTACTTGAAATTAGCTATTAAACATGGTGACATGTGTTCTTGATAGACTTAAATTCCATATTGTATTCATCATATAAACAACATTCAATATACAAAACAACCAAACAAAATTCAAATTTTTTATATTGGTTCTTTCGATTTCATGTATATACAAGTGAATTCTGAAAAACACAAACTATACCTAATACCAGACTATAGCCTGATGTTCTTTGTTTTATTCACTATATGGATCCACTTTATGAATATTTCTTAGATGAGTTTTCAAATTTTCAGACTGATTGAAAATTTTCTTACAAATAGGACATTCAACACGATAATCAAGATGTATGCTTTTAACATGTCGAATTAAATGACTCTTTCTTTTAAAACCAGCCCCACAAAATGAACATGGAAACTTTCTTTCTAACTCAGCCTAAAAAATACAATAGAAATATGTGAATTGTTTATTTATATTTGACCATGCTTTTCTATTTGATGAAGAAGTCTCAAGATTATACCAGTCTTAAAAAAAAATATATACATGTAAGTATCTTCAGTCCCAGAGCCAGTGTGGGTACAGAGGGGACCTTTGTTAGAGAATGGTTTACACCCCCAATTGTACCCCCACTTTGTCTTTAACAAATTCAATAAACAAGATTTTTGATTCCTTTTTGTCCAAAATAATTTGTCAGAAAGCACCCTCTCAGACACTCAAAGGTTTGAGTTGATAGTTGTCCCCCCCATTGAGTCAGTTTGCCCACTATTTGTACCCCCAGTCTCAGAAGACTAGAGCATCACTGAGTATCTCCAACATCCTTTCCCATTTCAAAAGTGGTAGGTTCTAATGTGATGTAGTATCTATTATAAAGTATGGATTGATAGCTATGCAGTTACAATACCTAATTATTCAAATTACATGTTGATATAGATCAGTATTACCACTGTCTTAATACAACTTACTAATAGGAATCTAAGATCAATTACCTTGGCCCGTTGGGAGTTATTTGGAATAATGACAAAAATATCAAATTAAACTGTGGCAAAAAGATCAAAGTAAACTGTGGCAAAAAGATCAAAGAAAACTTTGGCAAAAAGATCAATGTAAACTGTGGCAAAAAGATCAATGTAAACTGTCACTTCCATCTCAATACAACAATAATTTTTCTGTTTCAATTCTATATGGACAGTATGTATAAGAAAATTAATGATTTAATGATTAAGTATTAGATATCTTAAGTATTAAGAAGTATTTGGTGTTATGTTCAGTAAATCAATTAAAAACATTGTCTAGGTTGTGAACACGAAGAATATGGAGTCTAATATTAGATTTTTGTGCTGCAGATTTACCACAAATTGGACAAACATGTAATTTTTGACCCAAATGTTGACCTCTAATGTGTCTGTTCAGATGACTTTTCTGAGTGAAAGATTTACCACAAAATTGACATGTTCTGCCATCTTCCAGTCTAGCCTAGAAAGAGAAAATGTGCCACAGATTATTCACTAGTTAATTAATCAATGAATTTAATCTAGGAAATTTTTCCTAAGTGGAAGATGAGAAGATATGTAAACCAAAAAATCAAAATTATAATGCTTAGCTTCTTTTATTTCTAACATATTTTTCATTAAGAGAGAGAAGTTTCAATCAATGATGTTTGGTTCTGCAGCCATCTGTATCACTTTCCAGAATTGACATCTAGTTATCAAACATTTCAACAGAAATATATTATGAATGTTCAAACTGTCATCACTTCAAGGGTGTTATGAACATTCTCAAATACAATTTGGCATGAAAGTGGCAAGTCTAAACTTCAAGATTCAATATTCTATATTTGTAAGGCCTATAAGTAGATGATAATAAGTCATCAGTCATCAATATTAAACAGAATCTTGTCTTTTATATTAAACTGGTATATAAAATAATCCCACAAGAAAAATTACAAAATACCACACCCTATTTAAATTAAAAATCATAAGATAAGCTGCTTGAATCATATAATAGTATGGATGATAAATCACCTCACCATAGCAACAGAATAAAAACCTACACAGCGCTTACTGACAATTACTTTAGTTGTTGATAATTATAATGACATTCTTTATAAGCTATCAGAATATGCAAAAACTGTTGACAGTCGTTGATATTCATTATGAATTATCAGTATAGAAAAGTTGTTGATAATCATTATGAATTATCAGTATAGAAAAGTTGTTGATAATCATTATGAATTAACTGGCTATACAAAAGTTGTTGCTATTCATTATGAATTATCAGGGATACAAAGTTGTTGACAGTTATGTTGATAATATTCATTATGAATTATCTGATTATATAAAAGTTATTGATATACATTATGAATTATCAGGGTATGAATTAATAGGCTATAGAAAAGTTGTTGATATTTATTATGAATTAACAGGATATTTAAAGATATTCATCATTAATTATCAGGGGATATATAAGTTGTTGACAGTTGTTTATGTTGTTGATTTATTAAGCATTGTTTTAGTTTGTGGCGTTTTAAAGAATCAGCTCTGTTAGTGATAAAACAACAAGAATCACATTGAAATAATTTTCTTTTATGTATACACTGAATATGGCGTCTTAGGCTACTTCTTATAGAAAAACTTTTATAACAAAACTGACACAGGAATCTTTCACCCTACAATGAAAAATAAAACGTTATTCAGACCATTTCTGCACAGTTTAACAAACATAACTTATTTTCTTACATGATAAATGGAGATGAAATTAATCTATACTTTCTAAAACAACTTATGTATACTATTTCATTGTTTTTATGACTAATTCTGGACATTACACCTGGCAAGAGTTAATGTCATAAATACGGACCAAAGACAATGATAAAAAATTTGAAATATGTAGACGTCAAGCGTAGGCTAATACAGTATTACATAGATATAACAATTACTGAAATGTAACTATCTTGAACCCATTTGTTTCTATAAAATCTATTCATTAAATATTATTTCAAATTGACAATAAATTGGTTGGAAAATATCTCTATTATAAATAAAAACATTACCTTTAATAAGGTTGTCCATGTTTTTTCATGTGTCTATAAAGAGATCTTTTCCAACCAAATTCCTGTCCACAGACATGGCAGGTAAACCAAGATTTTCTATGGACAGATGCAATGTGGGTAAGGAGTACATCTTTTCTGGTGAATGTTTTACCACATGTCTCACAGGGCAACCTCCAATCAACCTAAAATGAATTCAAAACATTGGTCTCCTTTATGTGGCTGAGAATCCAATCCAATACATATATATCTTGATCTTAAATTTCAATGTTTGAAGCTAAGGTTTGCATGAATCTCAAATAATTCTTATGTTGTATAGCGAGTGTTATTTTATATTTTTCTGCTTTGAACTTTCGATAAATTTATAGTCAAATATATATTCTTAAGTTAGATATACACTTTTATAATATAGGTTAAATTTTTGATAAATAAACACTAACAGTCTTAGGTAAAGTGATAAACCAGTTTTAATCTAACAGAGAGAGAGAGAGAGTTTGGCGAATACAGAAAATTCTATTAGCTTGATTCAGGTCTGAAATGTGCTGAATGTACAACTAAGACATGTCTCTTTAAATTGTCAACTCTACTAAATGTCTTGTTACAGATAGGACAGAATGTCTTAATCTGATTATGGCTGCCTTTAATATGACGTTGTAAATTTCCTTTATCTGTGTAACTTTGACCACAAATATAACAAGTAGGTTTATTATACATTCTTGTATCAATCTGAAATCATAAATAAACCACAGTTTTAAGATTTGTTAAAAATTTTATTAGAAATTCATCAAATTCAAAATGTTTGAGACACTGACTAAAACAAATACACATACAATATAGAAGAATAAAAAAACATCATTTGCAACAATAGCATTGTCAAGGTGACAAGTTTTCATCTATAATCAAAGAATCAAAAATTACTGTTATGTTATCTTACTGTTTTAGAAAAAGTATTCCCCTCTATAAAAGTGAAAAACAATATTTTTGAATATGTAGAACTTGATCATGAGTTAAACAATAATGACTACTTACAATTTGTAAGTTGCAAATAACTATAATTATATATGCCACAATTAAGTATCAGCAGAATTATGCTATTATCATAGACTATTTTGAAAGATATATCAAAAAACATACCTAAATTTTTTTTTTTTTAAATTCGTTTCAACAACATTAATTCCTGAAATTGACAATTACAGACAAAAGCCACATTTACAATTACTAACTCTTATGAATTATCTAACTGATTTATAATTCATTAGTCTAAATGAATAAATAACAGTACTATGGCAAAGTGACATAGTGCTAAGGAATCTAAAAGAAAAGTTAAAAACAGGAATAAAAAAATAAACAATGAATCATTATTTGATCTGTTCTCTACTCAGTTCCTTGTCAACCTCATATACTAGGTCTAGATACTATTAACAATCTTACTTCACTTTAAATACATCAAATTATCATAACATATCAACAAGAGCTCCAAAATTATTATTCAGAAATCACAAGTAAAGGAAGTAGCTTAAATATTTTATCAATTAAATAAGACAGCAAAAAAAAGTTATCACTAGCCTTTTGTTTCTATATGAAATGTCTATATCATATTAGGATGGGTATTAAGAATATGCCGTTTTAAAGAATCCAATCTACTGAATTTTCTCTCACAAATATGACATTCAAGATAAATACAACTATGGATTCCATCAACATGTCTCTTTAAACTTCTTTTATCTGTGTAAACTTTATTACAATAGGAACACGAAAACTGAGACCGATTCTGAAATCATAAATAATCATTCTTATGTTATTATTTCAAACTTTCATGATATTGATATTATAACAATATAATGATAATCTTCTATAAAGATGTTAAATAATGCTGAATTTAGTCATGTAGGGAAACAAATTTTCAGGTGGTTATGTACAACTACAATTTTTGATTTACAGACATAAAAAGGCCTACAATATCCTACTTAAAGCCTCTGTTAAACTTTTTACACACATTTCAATTAGCTTAAAAATTTATAGGAGGGATTTTGTGTTGCCCACACATCAAACATTGGGCACATTAAAAGCTGGAATAATTGATGTATTAATTCTAATGTTTTGGTATCAATAATAACTGTACAGTCAGTACAACAGTTCATTTTTCAAAGTAGATTAATAAACAACCAACATAGGATCTAGCACATACTACATACCTAAGAAAGAAGAAAACAGATTATGCCTATTTTTCATCATTTTCATTAGCTATCATCACTGATTGAGTAACATGTCTGAATGAATACGTTTAATATGGTCCTGTAGATGACCCTTCTGTGAACACAGTTTACCACAAACTGGACATTGGTGGCTAAATTTGAAATGAGTTGTTTTAATGTGGCGTTTTAAATTTCCAGGATGACTAAAATATCTTCCACAATATTTACACATTTCATTATTTTTTATCTACAAGTAAACAAAAACAAAACTTTATCTGTGTGAACAAATTTAACTGAGAAATTACTTCAATAATAATTTACATGTCATAATGTGGTACAGATATCATATTTGTGGTATTATAAAAATCTGAAAATATATTTTGGTCAGAATAGAATCACAGGATTTGTTATGACAAACAGACAGTTCTACTACATTTTTAAATTTCCATCCCGGTAAATACTATCAGTGGGTCAGAAACAGTTTTAACATGTATTATCTGACCTGATGAGGTTTGGATGGTGTTGCCTAATATAAGTATATAGATTGAACTTATAGATCTTGTTACCAGCAGGGCAATCTGTAGGAGAGATGAAACAGTGCTGTCCAAGGTTCCTGTGCACACTGATGACAGATGAATATTGGGAAAGAAAACATGTGGGTCAGGTATTGTCATTTGATTTTCATTTCAAAACATCAGTAAACAATATACTCCACTACAGGGATGTTGATTTGGCTCTATATGCCGGACATGACCGACAGGGCTGCTAAAATGACCGATGATCTATATCCTCTATCGGACATCAAGTATAGGTTAGCCATTACATGCCTTTCAATGTCGGTCGAATGCAAAATTTTATGACAACTGGAGTCCACTCGATTTATTATAGTTTATAACTAATATTTAGATTAGTTCATCTTATAATATAGATCTCAATATCACTGGTATGTCTTTCAATTATTTCAAATCTTACAATTGGGAGACAAATCAAAACTATGCAGAGTATGAGAAAAATACTAACTAATTATAGAGAAAAACTACATTTTATTTAAATACACTATATTTCTACCTGAAATAATTATACTCATGTTAATTACATAATATATATAATAAACATAAACAAATGGTATCATATAGAAAAACATTCAAATTACCAGGTGCAAATGAAACAATATTAAAACAAAACCTCTTGCCACTAATTTTCTCAGCCACGTTTTGTAAACAGAAGGGACAAATAAGTCAGTTTTAATTCCTATTTGCCAAAAAATGTCAAAACCATTTAGAAATGATAGTTTCATATCTGTGAGAGCTTATAATCAAACTTGATGCATTCGTTTCATATGGGTATTAAAATCAGTTTTATATTTGAGAATTTTACCACAATAAGGACAAGTGAAGTTTTCCTTCAGATGAACAGCTTGTATATGACGTTTCAGACTCCAAGGTCTGCTAAATCTACTACCACAAAATGAACAACTACATGAAGCCTACAAGTAGAAAAGAATAATTTAAAAATTTAGGCTATTTGAACATGACAATTTAGATAGAGTATAATTGAAGTGTTTTTACTTCAAAATAAAACATAGATAGAAATTGAAAAGAGCTGCAGAGTCACTTGCAAATTTGTTTCTTTGACTTTTCCTATACAAACTTTTAGAATCAGAATCAAAACTATTCAAACTTCGATCTTTATCTACTGTAATGTGAATGGTATTGATACTTGGTACATTTAATAAGTTTGTCAATATATAATTGAAAATCATTTCTAAAATAAACACTTGTGTGTGTGTTCACTCTTCTGCATCTGGGTTCATCAAATAAACTCTACTTAAGTATCATATTGTTTGTTTGGTAATAGTGTTATTTATCTATTGACTTAAATATTGTAAACTTTGTGGGTGCCTCCTTTTCATGTGGTTAACAAGGTTAAACTTATAGGAGGAAACTAAACTACAAAATGGACATTTAAAATTTTCTTGAAGATGAAAAGCTTTAACATGACGCTGGAGATTGCCTTGAGTACTAAAACCTTTCTTACATAATTCACAATTCCAACTGACCTATAAGTAGAAATTGAAATATATTTAACGGAATCAATCATTTAAAATATCTTCTGTTTTATTTTCCATAGTTACAATTAATCATTGTGCCTGAGGACGATGGGGGAAACACGTCGAAACGTTGCATAAAACTTTAACCAGTGATTGTTGTTCCATAAAGCTGTGTCTATATATCATACTCACAATTGCTAAATGCCATTTAAAGACTTTACAATTAATCATTAACAAATTATTAAGGATTCTGAAAGTACTTTCCTATTTTCAAACTAACCTTAAAATTGTAAAAATCTACGATAAGAAAATAAATATTGTGCAAATTAGATCTTGTAATGCTTGATCTAGCAAGTTTTTCAAAATGACACTGTTTGTTAAAAATAAAATAAATGTAGACCTAACAGACTAATATGTTCTGATATTTAAAAATTATTTTGCTGATACAACATCATAAGGTTAATCATAAATCATATAATTGTAAAAATTTGATCTATTTACTCATATAAAAACAGGTACTCCATTTTTCTTAGATATAAATCAGTAAACATGTTTTATATTCCTAAATTTTCCCTACATTTTATATATGCAGAGTTGTTTTCTATTTCAAAGTAAAATGTATAAAGATCAATTAATGAATTGTCTTGTGATGTTATTAACATAGGTATAATACTCTGTTTTAATTTACTCTATGTCCAATGTTTACCATCATCTGATATTCTTTCCCTGTGTTTACGTTTAATATGAGTTAATAAATTACTGCGATAAGTACAGATTCGAGGACAAAAAGGACATTTATTAGTTTGATTTAGATGAACTCCTTTAATGTGCCTTCTAAGATTTCCATTATTTGCAAACATAGCATTACACTGATCAATTGGACATTTCCATATAACCTACAAGTAGAAAGAAAATCTTCAGGATACACAAGCTAAAATGATTTTCTATATTATTAAATACTAGTATAAACTAACAACAATATGGACATCATAAAGTAATTTACAGGAAATGAAAGTTATGCTCTTTCAGAACAAAATATAAAACAGACTATTCTATTTTGAGGTAGTTTAAATTTTAATGACCACGATATATTCTCATATTCTCATATACTACATAACTACTTATAACACGATATTCAATATTCCCTTTAATCTTTGGTTTAATATATGTGTGGTCGGGCGTAAGTGTGATATAAAAAGGTTTAAATCAAAGTATAATTTACTCTGTATAACCATGTTTGACATTTTTGGCCTGGATTTAGGATTTTATTTTTCATAGGATGCAAGCTTCAACAAAAACCTTCACATATGTTTTTAGAATAAAACACAAACATTTGAATATGATACAATCATACCAATTTGAAACAAAGTTAAACTTTTGATGCATGTACAATAATTATTACATAACAATAACATGAAGGCCAACTGCCATATTTTTGTCAATCATGATTTATAAGCAATTTATAGCACATTTTCATTCTTTAACCAGATTGGACTCTGCATTTAAATCAGTTAACCCACGAAAACTGTGCTATAAATATTACATTAGTAACAAAACGAACTGTAAGGAAACAGGCAAACTTAGTAAGTTTTGTTTTCAAAGGAATGTACCAATTCTATTGTTAATCTGTGATACTATGATCAGCAATGTATGTTGCATGTATTCTTCTTATATGACCTTGTAAATTACTTTTATAACTACAAATTTTGGGACATAATGGACATTTGAATGACTGTTGAAGATGGAATCCTTTTACATGTCTTTTTAAACTTCCAATTGTACTGAAACCTTTTCCGCATAAGTCACACTTATTAACCTAAAATTAAAAAGAGAAATTTTGTATAAGATTTGAATAGGATTTATCTTTTAAATCGTGGTTTCAACAACATTTCAAAGAGAAAATTTCAAGGACATTTCTAGGTGAAATTCAAAGATATGTCTAAGCCTATTTCTTCCTAGCCATAATTATATAAATTTTCATATTTTGTCAAAAACCATTAAACTCTTGAAGTTGCCCTCTTCTGTTTTATGTAAAGTGGTTTATATCTCATACCGTTAAGAATAATTAACTTTTATCAATATATTCTTGTCAATTTAGCCACACATAAATAATGTTCAAGAAACTTGAATTTGTCTCAGCAAATAGATTACATTTCATAACCAAGTTTGAGATATATTGTCCTCACACTTCACCGATTCAACAAAAGTGACAAAATGGACAGTTACCATCTCAAACTGCAGTTTTTGGCAGATTTTTCCATTTAAGTGTTCATTATATGACCCTGATGACACTAATTCACATTGTTAGACATGGTATGATTTCCTTAAAGTGTCAGATTTGATATCATACTTAACATGAACTTTAAAAAATATTTTGGTGTATGTAGGTTGATACCAAAGTAATCAAAAGGTGTTCTGTATTGAAGTTGGAGATGATCAGAAAATCTTTTATTGGTTTATAGTATGTCAATAAGCAGTTGGCATGTAATGGTAGAGCAGAAATTGATAGTTTCTTACTCTAATTCTACAATTCTTAACAAAATATTTTCAAATTGGATTTTTATGTTTATATTCAGGAAAAATGTGATGTTATGGTGAAAATTGTACACTTTAAAGCTTTGAAAATCTGATGTCAAAGAGTCCTCCACCTGCAGCAAACATTAAGATATGAAGTAATATTAGTGTATGCAAATTATCATTCAATATTCAAACATTGAAATTACTTCATAATTATCATCCAGTACTATTGTGGCATGTTAACATATGTCCATTTAAATGAACCTTTTGGGTATAACTCTTATCACATTCTGAGCATTGAAATCGCAATTTGAGATGAGTTGATGTGACATGTCTCTTCATGCTTCCTTTGGTGGTAAAACTTCTTCCACAAACAGGACAACTAAAGCCATCACCCTACAACAGACATAACACTTTGAATACTAAATGACCATTTTTCAGAATTAAATTTAAGTACATGTATGTATTAGCGGTACAATTCAAGCCTCAAGAGCATTTACAACACGTAGAAATGTGAATAATGAATTGATCATTGTCTCAGATTTCATGGTAGTTTTGTGTTGACTTGTAAAACAGGTAGCACACAAACTATTTTAGTTGCTGACCAGACTTGTCAAAAACAGCTGTTGGTCCATAAGCAGACTGAAAATCTGTTTTCACTTATTGTGGTCCATAACTGATAGTCCTGTGATGATCATTTGATTGAAGTGAAACCATAAATGACTGACATTAGGGAATCCTCGACAGGATCTGTAAAGCTGAATCTATTCTAAATATAACCCATAAATTTAGAGATTTGGGGAGACTGTTTGTGGTTCTGATCAGATGATGATGTATACTAGTTCAAAGAGAAAAGAGTTTGAAACTTCTTTCTATGTTTAATGTATCACTTCCAGTTCTGATAAATAATTTACATAATATATGATGTTAATCCTTTTAAAGAGATCAAGTTGAATATATTAAATATATTCTTATTACAGATCTACTGATGGAAAATTGAAACATGTTCATTCAAATGAGCTTTTTGTGTATAACTTTTTTCACACTGGGAACATTGAAATCGCATTTTCAAATGAGCTGATGTAACATGTCTCTTCATGCTTGATTTGGCACTAAAACTTCTGTGACAAACAGGGCATCTAACTCCAGTACTCTACAACAAACAGAAATAACACTTTTAAAAACTTGAGTATTCCTAATTAGATAGATCAAAATCAGGGGATTGCTGCCAGCAAAAAATATGAAATTAAATATTCAATATCTTGTTTTATCTTCTCATTGATCAGACTATTGAAAACAGGCAAATGTCTGCTGTATTATTCGGATTCCTGCTTTGGCCATTAGAGAGTTTTAGAAAACAAAGCTGTCATCCTTGCATCTTTCATTTATTTTAAATCAATCAACAAATACAATACAAACAGAACAATATTAATCCAAAAACAATAAATTAATCGGTGTCTAAAGCTTACAGATTGGAAAAAAGGAATATACAGATTTAGAACCTACTTTAACATAATGCATAATACTGAAAATATTATATTTTAAATATTGGTGTTGTGCTTTAAATTTAATCTGCAACTAGGTTTGTTGCTTTTCAGAGAGTCCACATAGAAAAAAAAGTTAATAATACTGTCTTTTATTACATACATGTGTAATCCTACTACACCGATACAAAGAAAAATCAGGCCCATGTAAAAATTGAATCCATATCACACATACGTTGAATATGGTCAGAGTCGCCATTTGTGTTTATCATTTCGCTTAGCGAATTCAAAGCTGCAGTGCAAGCTCATAATAGCTCAAATGACAATCATTTGAAACATATTTTGAAACATCACATTCCAGGGGGAATCCCACAGCGAAGTACACAACGTAGGTCAAATTGACCGACTATTTAATGCGGTCTTTTTGCGCAATTGGTGTGGAACTTTATAGTTAGTATTATTAACAGTAACCATAAAACATAAAAAAGTAAACGAAATAGTATGTAATAAAAGTCGAACCGCACACGTGTGTATAGGTTTGAAATATAGCATGAGGGGCTTGGCGTAATGATACAAATTCATGTGCTACGCAGATAAAGTTAGGAGAAATAATTGGTAAATCTAACATATATTTACAACATTGCATTATTTTGAACACTATTTTCTTACAGTGCTACTTTTGAACTACAACTTATAATAAAACTGATATCATAAGGCTTAATCATTTATAATTAGATCAGAATGTGTCTTTAAAAAATGCCTTTTCAGGCTGCCCTTTTGAGTAAATGATTTTTGACATATTGGGCATTTTGATACCATTTTCATATGTATTATTTTGGTATGATAGTTCAAGTTACTCTTATTGCTGAAACTCTTGCCACAAAACATACACTCAAAAGGATCTTGGCCACATTGCAAAGTCTACAAAATACAAAGTTAAAATCTCTTAAAAAATAACTAAATACCTTAAAAAAAAAAACCAAATACCTTAAAAAAAAATAACACTTTGTGTGATAATAGTAAATATAACTCATAAATTAAAACTTGTTTATAATCTACAATGTTATGTTCTATAGCTGATAAACTTAGAATAAAGTATTTCATAATAAAATTTTCATCTTAATTGTTTCGTGTAAAAGTATTTATTACATTCAAATGATGAAATTTGTTTTATTTTAAGACAGTCAATGGGTATAGGATAAATGTTGGCTTCGGTCAATTGCTTTCAGCAAAACAACAAAACAATCATAAATTCAAGACAAAAATTTCAAGACATAAAATATGTAAATGATTGTATCACTAAAATTATTAATCATTATGTTTTAATTTAAGTTCCTGTGTATAAATAGGCCCTACTGTTTCCAACTTTTGACTCATGTCTGGTGTAAGGGTTCATTCCTCAAATGAATCAAAATCCTTTATTCTTGAAAATAAGACCATAAAATCCCTCACCATTTCAAGAAGTATGGACAGACAAAAAATGTCGTTTTAAGTTGCCCTTTTGTGAAAATGCCTTGTTGCAAACTGGACAGTGCATTAAAAGCTTCATGTGAATTCCTTTGATGTGAAGATTTAAATTACTCTTGCTACCAAAAATCTTACCACATGAAGTACATGGATATTTATCAAAATATACATCCTACAAAATACAAAATTCAAACTTTATCAATATTTTTAAAATGGTGCAAGAAGAGGGTATTTTCATTGCATATAGAATCATTGTAATCTTGAATGAAGTTTTACTGTTATTAGATATTAATAATATCATACAGATATTTACATTATTCTTTGGTTAATTACTGTACAATATTAAATTGTCATATTGTTTTTAGTTTCACTGTTAGAGAGTCTGCCTTGATATGACAACATTCTTATTACAAGGACTGACCTTGACACTATATCAACAACTCTGTTCAAAGAGTGATTTTAGTACAAATCAAGAATGTGGAATCAAGAATTGAATGACATATAAATGAAATATTCCTTGACCATGAACTTATCAGTTTTGTTTTGAGATTCCATGCATTTGGCAGCATTGTCATAAGCTAATTTATTCTCAATTTAAGATTTTCCCTTTGTAAATTATGTGTCAAATGTATGATGACTTAGCACATGTCTTTTCAGATTTCCTTTTTGAGTGAATGCTTTCCTACAAATGGGACAGTAAATCAAAACTTTCATATGAACTCCTTTTATATGTAGATTTAAGCTGCTCTTGCAACCAAAAACTTTATTACATGATGGACACTGATCCTATAAAATAGAAAAGTAACAAATTGTTCAGATTTGTTCAAACTAAAAAAATATTTAATATTAAATATAGTGATGTGACATTTCATATTCCTTTTAGGTTTAAAATCAGTCTTTGATCATCAGATGACTAACCTGCTGTCATAACCATACAACAGAATCTCTCTATCATCTAATAAATCCATTAAAGTAATTTTGAATCATGCTTTGAAGCGTGTTTCAATAATTGTATAGTTGAATGAATTTTATATCTTATATAGAGATTCTATTCTTTAGTCATGGCACCTGGTAAATCCAACTGGTGAATATAAACACTTGTTGGCCAAGTTTGAGACTTTAAATTTTGTGTCCATTTCTTAGAGTCAATCCTTTTAAATTTGGTAGATTTACAATGTTTGTTTGAAATGTAGGTACTTATTTGGTTGGTTGGTTGATCACATTTTGGCCTGATCTCGTGTATTGCAATCTTGCATGATTTTTGCTGGTGTTGAAGTATTTTTTGGAAAATATTACATCAAAGAATTCCTTCTCCATTCCAAGAGTCAGTATCAGCATCAACATTCTGATATATGTTCCCTGATTCCATGGAGGATGTAAATCTTCTGCAATTCTTATACTTAAAACTCTCTTTAAAAATTCAATTCAAATCTGAATACCTTAGTTAAAGTTTGGTTGAACTAATTAATAAGTGTATTTTCACCAAGAAGTGGTAGGGTAATGAATGAAAATGTCTGAAGCCTGAAATTCTTTAAAAATATGAAATAAGGTCTAGCATTTAGAACAAGAAACCAGTTGGTGTTTTATGATGTAAATGCTGGAGTATGTGTTATGTTAAGATAAATATTTACCCAAATAGTAATAGAATTCATTCATTCACATTGTGTCTCAACATCATGTGCCTTTTTAAATTTCCTTTTTGATTGAATGATTTATAACAGATTGGACAGTTGACAGCCATCTTCATGTGAATTCCTTGAATATGTAATTTCATACTACCCTTTTTTCCAAAAACTTTACCACATATAAAACACTTAAACTTATCAAAGGTCTAGAAAAAAAAAGAGAAGAAAACAATGAGTTTGAATTAGACATGAAAAACTCACTGAAAGTAAAATAGAATTCTCTTATCTCACAATTTGATCATAAGAACCTAATATATTTAAAGGGACAGGTAGGCCATTTTTTACCAATCATACTTTAGTCTCTGAAACTGGACTTTCATAGGTGAGCTAATCAGCAATAGTGTTCATAGCTCATTGTTGAAATTTGAGCCTTTAAATCCATGTGTTTCCAGAATTATCTACGTTTGAATGTTAAAATTACACGTCAATTTAAAATACTCTAGAAAAGACATACATAGAAACATTGAGTAAAATTCCTAGTTTGAAGTATTTTTAAAGGAATTATGTGATTTTCGTACATTTCTAGTATTTTTGAAGACTATTTACATATATTCAAGACTAAAATGAATCCCAAAAAATGGCACACCTGTCCCTTTAAGGTGTCATATATTAAGAAATGCATTTATTAATAACCTTTCATTACAAATAACATTATAATAAATGCTCACAAATCAATGTTTTTGAAAATTTACATTAAAAAAAAAAAAAAAATTGTAACAAATCTGTATCAAACTCACAAAACCAACACTCCATTTACATTCTCAAAATCATTAGTTACAGTATACCAATGCAAATAATAGTTTTCAACAAAATATTAAGATTGACTTTCTACAGGATGATAAAATTTAATATGTGTTTTCCAATTTCCCTTTTGGGAGAAAGTCTTGTTACAAAATGGGCAGGTTAAAGTCATCTTCATATGAACAGCTTGAATGTGGACATTTAAATTGCCTTTATTACAATATACCTTCTGACACCATTTACATTGAAACTGACCATTTTCATCTTTCAATGAGGTCTACAAAACACAAAAATAGCTGGTAAAACATCATATTGGTTCCTGGTGAATAGAATAGTTTTCTGTTTTATGAATACACACAATGTGAGCCACCATATTACTTCTCTGAGTAAAGGTTCTATCACAGTGTGGACACTTCAAGCGAATGTTTAAATGTTGACCTTGAATATGTCGTTTCAAACTTCCTTTAGTTGAAAACCGTCTATCACACTGCAAACACTGAGCTTCCTAAAATACATCAAACAAAATTTTCTACATTTCGTCATTCTGTTATATTTTTGGTACTATTACTTTTGTCTTCTTCACTGAGAACAGCACAAACATGCATTCTTAGAAATCATGTTTTTTTTCAATATCATCCTGATCATTGGTCTAGTTTTGATGTTTTAAAACTGATTCTACAAGTTAATTCTGACACCTTTCTAAAACTCTGATACAAAATATCAATTTAAAATTTCTAGAGAAGCCTATGTTTGAGGATATTCCAGGTTTGAATGCATGCGTTTGAAATGTTTTTTTAAGTTACTTCTGTAAGCAAACATTTTTTCACAAGCAGTACATTTTAATCTTAACATTAGATGTTGGCCTCTAATATGTCGTCGTAAACTGCCTTTTGTAGTAAATTGTCTATCACAACAGGTACATAAAAACTTTGGGCAAACCTACAAATATATAATTATAAAATGTTTTTACTGGTTACAAAAATATTTTCTTACAATCCTTGAATATTTATCTTGAATACAGTGTAAAAATCATTAGTATGTCACTTAAAATATTCTACCACAATTACTACTCTTATCTCAAAGCTGCTGACACACTATCATTATTCTCTAACTTAGAAGAACTACAAGTAATCCTTATCTCAAACATGTTCAAAATACATTTTCCAAATTATTCTCTTCTGTCACATCTTTTAAATGCATTCGTAGAATATGTTTTTTCATGTTACTTCTCTGTGTAAATGTTTTCTCACAATAAGCACATTTCATTCTGAACATAAGATGTTGTCCTTGAATATGTCTTTGTAAACTACTTCTAGTAGAAAATTCTTTGCAGCATTTACCACAAGAAAACTTAGGATGTTCCTAAAATACATTAAAGAAATTAGTTTTAGTAAATCTACAATAAAAACTTCTATGGCACCAATCGAAACTGTACATCCAAACTGTTAACCCAAATGTGTAATTTGGAATTAAGATTATTAACAGTCCAGCCCTATCCCCTACAATGTCAAGATACAAGATTTTGTGATGGAAGTCCTTCATTTAAAGGGACAGATACGTCATTTTGGGGGGTTGATTTCAGTCTTGAATATCTGTAAATAGTCTTCAAAAGTACTAAAAATGTACAAAAAGCTCAAATTTCAACTGTGAGCTGTGAACACTTTTAATGATTGGAAAAGTATTTATTTTGAATTTGTGTTTTGTGCAGGTAAAAGATAATATTCATATTTCTCATCCACATTGATATCACATTGTTCTTTGAGCATCTTAAGATTAAAATGTAATGTCAGGTAATGCTAAGCTGATTTCATCTCCATGCATAGCTGACATGTGTTGTTTCATGACACTTCTACGAGTAAAGGCACGATCACACAATAAACATTGTATTCGAACATTAAGATGTTTGGTTCTTATGTGTCTGTTTAAACTGGACTTGGTGGAAAAAAACTGACTACACACTGGGCATTTCTCCTAAAAATACAGATAAAATTGGGGTATTATTACCATGAACCAGGGCTGTTGATTTGTTTCTATATGTCGGACATGGCAAGAACTGTGTGAAAGACATTATTAGAGGTATTTTTCCTGGTTAAATCGAGTATTACAGTATTAAAGATTTGCTTTAACAACACATTTTCACTTGTATCATCTTTGTGTACATGTATCTATTTTGTCTTCAGGGGTTTGGTTTGAAATTTCGATAGAAAGCAAAATATCAAGAAATTATATTCCTTTGGTATTATCCATCAATAAATTGTATTTTTATTGAATATTCAAAGCAAGTGTATCGGAAACTGTTAAAATTACATTTGTTCAGTCACAGATGCAAGCATTGCAGTGAACAATACAAAGTCTTCAGAAACACTTCTATATACCTATCAAAACAGCAAAATTTGAAAGCTGACAAAAAAGGAAAATATTTGTACTGAAGTTAACTCCTTAAATCAATTTTCAATCATTTATTTAACAATTGAACCAGATAATTGATGAAAAGTAACAGTGCAAAGTCCTTACCAATTATAAGTGTATAAATCTAGGCTTCCATGTGAAGATTAAGAGCAGTACAACTTTCAAATTATACCAACACATTTTTTTTATTGAGTATCTTTTTATTGAGATAAAAATCACTGATATATGATGTCCATAAAATGACTATCTAAATAAAGACACACATAACCTTACACACAAAACACACAATTCTATATTGATAAACTGAAATTAAAACAAAAGATGGCAAGTAGAGCATGTATAAAGCATTCAATTCATTCTTAGTGCATCTGCATATGTAGATATGAAAACATATTAAAATACAACTTTTCTTTTCATTTAGGAGTAAGATTTCATTAAATAAAGTGCTTGATAACATTTAATCTATAAAAGTAAAATCTGAATTAGGTTTCAAATGAATGCGTAAGATATGAGTCTTCATATTACTCCTTTGTGAAAAAGTTTTGTCACACAATTGACACTTCAATTTAACATTTAAATGTTTTTCCCTTATATGACGTCTTAAACTACAATTTTGAGAAAACTTCTTGCCACACTCAACACAAACATTCTGTAGGCCATCCTAAAATACAGAATCGAGAGAAATCTTAGTATTAATTGTGAATGTTCTTCAATTTTTTTAGAAGTCTTCATTTTTAAAAATACTTTTCTCATAATAACTTAAAACAACTGTAAACAATTATTATTGCACTAAAGTCATGAATCTTAAAATCAAAATTATTGTAACTAGTCAACATCTTTCTGTCAAAAAACTCAGTTGCCAAGTGCCAAAGACTACAGGGCTGAATCTATCTTATGAATTAATTTTAAGTGTGATTTGATGTGACCTCTTTGAGTACTGTGTTTATCACAAAGTGGGCACTTTATTCTGATATTCAGATGCATTCCATTATAATGTCTTCTTAGACTGCCTTTAGTTGAAAAACTTTTATAACATATTGTACATCTAAAACCATCTTCATATGAAGACATCTAAAAGACAAAATAATAAAAGCTGTATAACTTTCTACTGAGGTATTGAGTTAATACTATTATCTTAGTTAATAATACTAAAAAACATTCTTAATTCTAGAAAATATAGCTTCACATGCTCTCATTTTTGATGTTTGAAGTATATTTCGTCTTTTACTTTACATTAACAGTATGTCTTATTTTTAGAGTTACTGTTATAAGGAACAAATCATTTAAAATATGATAAATAAAAAATTTTGTTGATTGATCAGTAAAATATAAGATAGTGGCATATAATCCAAAATGCCTCTAAATATTTTTCTAGCAGTGCCATACACTTAAAAATTTTGATCCATATGCATTCTTTTCATGTGTCTTCTTAAACATTCTGGTCTCAACACAGCTTGACAGATAGGACACTGAGATCTTTGATTTAAATGGCTGCCACGAATATGCCTGGTTAAAGCACTTTTCCACATGAAAGTTTTAGTACACATGGAGCAGTCAAAAGACAACTGGGAAACCTACAACGACAAGACAAAATATCAGATTCAAGATTCTCCTTACATTTAACATGGTGACCAGAAGTCAATGTTTAACTTTTCATAATATATATGTATTTAATCTCTTACTATTAGTATCTATCTATAAGTGATGTACATGTATTTTGAACAAGGCTGGTGATAATAGTTAAGAAATGTTAGAATAATTCAGACAAAGTTCGATATAAGGCCAGCTGTTGAGTTAGTTTTTTTTTAAGTTTTTTCAGATAGGCCATTAGTATAGGTATTTAAATGTGTGACAGCATGTTAAATAAAGAAATAAATGATGTTTTGATTCTGGGACACTTGCAATTAGCTCATTATTTATTATTTGGTCGTATAAGTACAATTAATTGAATGCAAGTTTTCCAATTTTATGCACAGTTTTTAAATGTTGACGTAAATACTCTTTTCTAGTGAGTAATTTGGAACAGATAGGACAAGAAAATCTGGAGTTCAGATGACAAGTACGAATGTGTCGTATCAAATTTTTGTGTAAGGTAAAAGTTTTACCACATTCTTGACAAACATGACCGTTTTCATTGAACACAACCTACAAAGACAATATTGTATAACTTTATTTTTCTTATTACATATACAAAGACGCAAACTTAAAGAGTAATATCACAATGACAATCCATTAATGTTACTGATGCAGACTAAATAAATGGCGATTACAGATGTTGCGCACTGACTGCAGCCAATGGACTTTTTATAACAGATTTTTGTGTGTTATTTATTTATTATATTTTCATGGGTTATATATTTTATATAGTTTTTAGTTGATTTCTGATAGAAAATGGTACATAACCTGCTTGTATCCAAAAACAAATTACACAAAAATTGTTCAGTGGCTTTCCAACTTAGTTCAACAGAAACTTTTGAAGCACTAAATATAATTAGTATACATCTACTAAGAAAAATTATGTCCAATTTTATGCACATTTTTCAAATGTTGACGTAAATACTCTTTTCTAGTGAGTAATTTGGAACAGATAGGACAAGAAAATCTGGAGTTTAGATGACAAGTCCGAATGTGTCGTATCAAACTTTTTTTATAGGTAAAATTTTTACCACACTCTTGACAAACATAATCATTTTCACTGAACACAACCTACAAAGACAATATTGTATAACTTTAAATTTTCAACTAGCATGCAAAATTTCTGTTCTGTTTGAAACCACATTAAAATCTATTTTCATTTGATATGAAATTTGTCATATTAAGTTAGTGATGAATTGGCGGGTTTTATTTTGCAATAAAGCAGTTTCATTGAAAGATTTCCATTTGCATTTACACCAATGATGACCTCTAAGAATCTATTATTAAGTCTACTACACACAATGGCAAAATTCACTTCTATGAATGATTTTTTAAGTATTTCAACAAGAATTAGCTTCTTGAAAATAGAATTTGTGTCATAAACCGTTTACATTACAAAAATTATCAGTTCTGAAAATGGAACGGATGAAAAATTACTAGTATAAACAGTTGAGCGTTCTGAGAACAGTTCTAATTTGAGACTGCTGGTCTTGGAACAGTTCTCAGAACAGAATAGTTAAAATTTGGTAAGCATTCTGACCCCTTGACACATTCTACAGTTTCTGTGAGCAGACGAATTTGCCTTCATAAGGGTTATTAGAAAGTCTAAAATTAACTTCATGAAGAGTTCAATTAAAAGGTGTCTGAGAACAATAAATCATTTACACTACTGTTCTAGAACTGTACTTGCAACGCTGAAAATTATAGTAATGTAAACAGTAAACATTTAAAACATAATCAGGACTATATTGTTAAGAGTAGCTCAGAAATTCACAGTTGGTTAGGATTTATCTTATGGACAGAAATCAGATGTCTTTTAACATATTCTTTTCTTGTCATTTCTTTAAAACAAACTGGACAATAATGCCTAGATTTTCGATGATGTATTCTTATATGTCTTGATAGACTACCATGATGTGAGAACTGTTTATTACATTCACTACAACTAGACAAACATAACTCAATCTAAAATAGAAAATATTCAAACTGATTTTTATTTAGTTAAACACACCATGGTTCTTAGAAATGAATTTTTAAATTTATTTGAATGATCAAGCATGTACATCAACGACTACGAGAAATGGGCTTTCTTTCTCACAGAATGGGATGTTACGATCATAATATATGATATAATATATGTTATAATTCATGATGGTAAAGAATGGGATGCAATGCTCAATGTTTCTACAGAATGGGATGTAATGATCAATGTTTCTAAGGAATTGGATGTAATGATCAATGTATCTACAGAATGGATGTCATGATCAATGTTTCTACAGAATGGGATGTAATGATCAATGTTTCTACAGAATGGGATGTGACAATTTATGTTGTTAAAGAATGGGATGCAATGCTCAATGTTTCTACAGAATGGGATGTAATGATCAATGTTTCTAAGGAATTGGATGTTATGATTTATGTTGTTAAAGAATGGGATTTGACAATTCATGTTAAAGATTGGGATGTCATGATAAATGTTTCTACAGAATGGGATGTGACAATTTATGTTGTTAAAGAATGGGATGCAATGCTCAATGTTTCTACAGAATGGGATGTAATGATCAATGTTTCTAAGGAATTGGATGTTATGATTTATGTTGTTAAAGAATGGGATTTGACAATTCATGTTAAAGATTGGGATGTCATGATAAATGTTTCTACAGAATAGGATGTGACAATTTATGTTGTTAAAGAATGGGATGCAATGCTCAATGTTCCTACAGAATGGGATGTAATGATCAATGCTTCTAAGGAATTGGATGTTATGATCAATGTATCTACAGAATGGGATGTAATGATCAATGTTTCTACAGAATGGGATGTGACAATTTATGTTGTAAAAGAATGGGATGTATTGATCAATGTTTCTACAAAATGGGATGTAATGATCAATGTTTCTAAAATTCTGTAAAATGTCTGAAATAAATTGAAGTTTCTGGTATCAAAGAATGGGATCATTCACTTTGTGGACTTTCCGAATATGGTCCCTCAAGTTATCAACTCTTGAACAAAGTCTGCCACAAAAACAACACTGAACACGCAGCTTTAAATGTTTCCCATTAATATGCCTTTGTAAGTCTTTTTTCCATCTAAAAAATCGTCCACACCAGGAACAGCTCAAGTCTGATCCAGAGATTGAATCTATCTACAAACAAGAACAAATGAAATTTAACATCAAATTTATTTTTCAATATGCTAAAATAGGAAACTTGTTAAGCATTTAAAAACCCCAATTAACAGTTTAAAAACAATGAACATTTCAAAATTTGTAACTTGTGCAAAGAACAAAAAACATTTAAAAGAGATGAATTAACTTTCAATATTTGTTATCTTTTCCCTCGTTTCAGGAATTTATTCCACTATTGATTCAAATTGTGTAAATGTTTTTAAAAAACCACGAACAATAATTAAATTAAATCTTAAATTGGTCTTTTAGACTAAATAGAAATAATGTTCAAACAAAAAAACTTATATGAAGTGATGTTTATAATTTTTTCTTTTTAAAATGAATATTAATCATGTGCTGCTTTAAATAATCAATTCGTTTTAACTCTTTCCCGCAGATTTCACAGGGAAAACGTTTATTAGAATGTTGACTAATATAATGTCTTTTAAGATTCTGTAACCAATGAAAACTTTTGCCACACTCAAGACAATGACTTAGAAATGCTCTGTTATCAGCCTAGAAGGAAAAAGAATACATGTTTGTTAAACCACTTCATGCAAAGCCTTCCAAAACATGAAACAAAATTACTTCAAGCAAGCCCATCAAGCAATGCAAATAATGAGTGCCTTTCTAAGCAAAGCAATTTAGGCACATGATAATTACATAAATGAGGAAAGTTCAGTCTTCATGATTATTTTCAGGAATAATAGTATTTTCTGTCAATTACAAGAAACTTAATGCCAAACATAATGTAGATACCTCACATACGCACACCTTCTCCATACAGAATATATTGAACAATACTTATCAATCTATAACTAAGACCATTGGAACATCATAACCCAAAATCTCATAACAATTATATACATTTCCAATCGTTTTTGTTTGGCTTTTCTTTTGATGTATAGTAAATAAATGAATTTGTTCTTGTCTAAATTTTGTGTAAATTTTTATTAATTGTGAATTTTTCACCAGATATTAGACGAAATCCCCTTACTTATTCACAAATTAATTATGGTTGGTCAACAGATAAAAATCTTTTATCATGTAATGTAGCTATCTAGAATCAAGTAGTCAAATTATCGTGCTCTTTACATTTGCAAATTCAAACTGTTAACTCACAAAACCCTTAATATTATGAGAATTTGACCAACATTCTAATAGTCACCATGACATAATCTTTTATGAGATAATAGTGTATCAGCTCTGGTGAATGTTTTCAAACAGATAGTACATTGAACACGTTTATTAAGATGTTTACTATCTATATGACGAGCTAAAGTATGTTTCCATGAGAAAGAGTCACCACACCATTGACAACTATAACCTTTCACCTACAAGTAATAAAAGGAACAAATCAACACAAATTTTTGGTGTTTCAAGCAAATTCTGTTGCCAGTTACTAGAAAGATCAACTGTACAGTTCAATTTAAAATTCAAGTATTTGTTTTCCTAGGCCATATGTTAGATACATTTGAGTTTGGACCATGGTAAGTGTATCATATCATCAGGAAATAACCAATATATTTGATATTGAAAAAATTCTGTTCCAGATTTACCCTAAATGGGAAACTAAACGATAACTTTCTATCGGATGACACTATTATATTACAAATGACTTGTGGAACTATGATTAGCATGTGCAGTGACGTCATCTAGGTTTATGCTGCAATAAATCTAAGAATTATAAGGACCTTTACATCATGTCCGTTTTTGAATTTTTGGGCAGAGTTATTACCAAAGGTTTTCAATTTTATCATCACACATTCTGTCAAACTATTTATTACTTATAAAACTGTTATCAATATTCAGATGAATATTCTATCGAGAGAATTACAAATTAGTCAGTATCATTTTCATTATGTTTCCTTCTTATATGATTCACCAGGTCACCTTTTTGTGTAAAACTTTTCAAACAAATTGAACATCCAAATCTTTCAAAGAGATGAATACCCTTTATATGCCGATTCAAATTAAAACTAGAAGTGAAGGTTTTACCACACCATGAACAAGAACATCTGCGCTTCATCTACAAACAAATAAACAAATCAACATTTAGAACATGTCCTTAACTACATGTATACAGAAAATAAATAAACTATAGGTTGTAGCATTGTGTGAAATTGCTCTATTTCTAATGTATACAGACTTAGGTTCAACACTGTAGGACCAAGACAAATCATTCACTCCTTCACAATTTTCCATTTTGATCAAACAAGATTTCAGTCTGTAAAAATGTAACATTAGTTGGCTATTCCAGATAATTCATTTTGATGAAATCTGCGGAAATGGGCTTTAAGATTAGTTTTGAAATTGAATGTTTGACCACAAACTGGACAAGAAACTCTACAATTGAGATGTACACCACGAACATGTTGATTTAAATTAGATTTTGTAGTAAAAGATTTACTGCACCATTTACAAATCAACCCTTGATAACCAACCTACAAAATACATAAAATCTTGTCTTAGTTTTTAGGTTTAAGTACTGACACAAATTCTAATCCATGCAAATTTTATGTATTCTAACTGTTTTAACACTTCTACTATTTTATCATTTTCACTCTTTGAAGCTCTTGCCATATTTTACTATTTTTTCAACAAAATATGGTTGATGAACAGTTCGACTACTAAATGACAATGGTATCATGCTCTTTAGCACTGTGACCTTGCATTAATGCTTTTGTTTTAAACTGCTTATCACAAGTTGGACAACCAAAAGTTCGTTTAAGGTGCATTATTTTAATGTGTTCCTTCAGGTTGCCTTTATTAGAATATTTTTGATCACACAACGGACATTGGAAGATAGGTTTGTGGGATAACGTATCCAGAATACTGTGAACTTGATATTCATGTCTAACAAGATCTGTCTTGGATAGGTAAATGTGATGACACCATAAACACTCTAAACTATTCCTTGGTATTAATTCCTAAAAGAGATATAACAAAACCCTTCTGATATACACTAAGACAAATGGCTAGAGATTATAAGGTTTTAATATCTCTGGATGACTACTTTTCATGTGTTCTCGTAAATTGTCCTTTTGAGTGTAATTTTTGCCGCACAATTCACAGACGACACGAAATTTGAGGTGAATACCATTAATGTGTCTCTTTAACTTATATGGAGTAGGGAAAGCTTTACCACACCACTGACAACTATGTGATTTACGTTCAACCTACAACATACAACCACAACTTATTTAATCTTTTATTCATTCAACTTCACTGGTAATGTTTGTTTTTTAGGAGCTCTTTATGTTTTTAGTTTGTAAGAAATTTGAAATTTGATTTTATTTAGTAAACATCATATAATTTTACTGTATGAATTATGATAAGAGTTTTACCAAGAAAGTTCTGTTATACATAACAATAAAGAATAAATGGACTAAAATGTTCACATGAGACAAGCTAGTAGGCTATACCATCCTTAGGTTATTTATTACTTTTCACACATCTCACAAACATAACTTTACTGTAAAGTATCTAAGGCTCACTTATTGTTTAACAGTTTTCAATATACTTTGTAATCATGGTAAGGGTAATTGAACAATGATTAAATTGATGTTTCTTAATACATACAAACCCTTAGTTAAAGCAATATATTGCATCAATCAATGACAATAGATGTGTAGATATTGTCAATCGTATAAGAATTTAAATATTTCAAACATAACAAACCCAAGTACAGATGTCAAGAAGATCACAAAACAAAAGAATTTTATACATTTTTATTATCAACAGTCCCAACATTGAAAATAACATCCCTGATATTCAAATAAGATGGCAGCAACATTTGATGAACTTTTCACAATGAAACCTATATTGTCAGATTATGTTCTTCAAGAAAAAAAACACAAAACAAGTTGTGCAATGTAAGATACTTCCTCATTTGAGATACTTTATTGGTATAATAACATCCTACTTTCACAAAAAATATAATGTTGCACTTGTGAAGCTTCAAGTAGATTTGTTTTAATATTATTTTTATTTTTTTGAAGATTGTATTTCTTTGCCTAGAAAAAGCTCACTTTACCCTAGTTGTCAAGCTAAGATATTTGTCCACTTAAAAACATCAACTCAGAGCAGTTTACTTTAACTAAAATAAATTGCTAGTACTTGATATTGAATATTGTAAATCTCTGATCATATGTGTTATGAGAACTAAGTTTCGTTATAATTTGCCTTCAACATATTTCCAAGACTCATTTTAAAACAACTCTTAGCACTCTTCACAGATATATATTCAATCTAATCACAAACGTGGCGACCATTCACTTTTGACTGCAATTCCATTCTGTAAGAATTTCTTTTTATATATATGTCAAAGCAAAGTTACACAACATTTTATCAAAATGATTGGTCATAATAAACTAGAACGTCTTTCCTATTTTTTCATTTGAAATTTGAAAAAATTGATTCTTTGTATATCATATTTTGTCATATTAAATTTTAATTCATTCAACTTTGTATTAATCAGTTTGGAGCAATAGCTCTTCATCTTGAGTTATTGGCAGGGGAGATAAAAAAAAAAAAGGGGCAATGTTTTGCAAAGCATATTTAAAACATGTTGATTATGAGTGAAGGTGATTTTTTTCTCACATCTCAATCAAATGTATTAAAGATGCTCTTTGCACTAAAAGGAAAGGGAGAGGCATATACAATTGTTATCAATTCCTTAGAATATTCTAATCACTTCACTTCATGTAATTTAACAGTTATTAGAGTACTTTCTCTCTAAATAAAGTGGAAAAAGCCATTGGAACTACTCATTGGAGTTGTAGATGAAACAAAATTTTGACAAATTGCTTGAAAACACACCCAAATATGAAAGAAATTTATAAATCTGTTTAAAAAATGTAAAGAAATTGACACAATTTGAAATTTAAGAAAGCTACCTCAATATATGACATTGCTTGTCCAACTTGCATGGATACAGCAACAAATTCTGTCTCTAGTGTTTAAGGTTCATTTTTTAGCAAATGAATCCTGAATCAAGGGTATGAAAATGTTCTGGAAGCAATCCTTGACATTACGATAACACAATTGAAACAAGAGACATTTGCAAAAAAATTAGCCAAAGCATGAAAAAAAAAAATCACAAAAAAATTAAGAAAGACTCCACTGAAATGCTTTATATGGTCATTAAATGTTCTTGAGGGCAGTTCTTTATCCAAACTTCCAAATAACAGCTTGTCTGAATTTTCAACAACTTAATATCAGAGCTTTAACTTGAAAGAATGAGAAAAGATCATGTGTGTGTAAAAGGGACAAAAATGACTGAAACCTAAATCTAAATCTAATCATTCTATATTTGAATGATAAGAATAAATCTTTGAACAATCATCTTTAAGGAGGCTGGGCTATGGTTACCTTGCATCTGACAGAATCTAATCTCTCATCCTATCAAGCATCTGGCAGTAACTGCACAAATTTCACCAATTGGTTGATTTTTTTACAAGATAAAACTTAGTTGCTACCAGTTGTACTAGTTCAATCTTGCTGTCGACAGAGCAGTCAGAATTTATGAGTACCAAGTAGCTAGCAGTCAGTCACTATCTCTGTTCTATAGTTTGCTCATCGACAGTGACCAGATACAATTAGATGCTGTCAATTGCAGGCAACCAGAGTCCGCCATTTTATCAAGGGTTGGGAGTAAAGTTGAACAGGCCTGGGGTGCAGTCATAGCAAGCTAGTCAACTCTAAAGGGACAGAAAACTTTTATTGTCAAGCCAATTTGGTATATCTTTAAATTCATATTTTTTGCACTGATAATCAAGCTATTGTATCAGATGATATGTACTTTTCAATTTACAGTTATGCCTTTAACCCGTTAAATCTAGTTTGATAGGATTGAATCATAAAGCCAGAGACATGCTATGTTAAGATTTTGATTAATTTTCAAGATTATCTAATGTTTTGATATATGATCAGAATAGGCCAAGAACTAATTGTATTGTATACGGTCAGATTAAACTTCGATCATTATTTGTTTTGTAAACTGAAAAGTACATAATGACTATCAAGTTTGTATTTGAAGACTGGACTATTCAACAAAACGTCCATCACTTAAACTTAAGTGAAGAACATTCTTTGTTTAATTTATCTTCATTTTCAGAGATTCTAGGACAGTGGGTTTATTTTATTATTTTAATTCATGTTTCAGGTCAGTCAACAATAGACACGATCAGTCCCGAACAACGTCAAGTCAAGTCACCAACTAATTCATATTGTGTGTTTGTCAATGTCCTTTGCTTAAGGCTTCATAGAATCATCAGCCAGAATAATAATGACTTGGATCAATTTCCAACTTTCACAAGAATTCTGACCAACAATTTGAATATTTTAGGACAAACTTGATAGACTTCATGTGATTACTTACCTTAATTGTGCCTGATTGAAATAGTATTTCTTGTCTTTAAATAAGCTTAATTACATCATACCAGATAATGGGTGAAGCAATCTTACAAAATTTTGAGAATATTTTTTACATCTATGTTATTTCCAGGATATCTTCTGGCATGCAAGATAATTTTGACCAATAGAATCTTTATTATTTGTATTAAATCAAATGGTTGCAGTTATAAAAGTTATAGATCTAACATACTATTCCAAAAAGGCAATTATTTGGATGATTCTGAAAACAATTCAAAGGTTCAGAATTCAATATTTTAGCTTAAGTTCCTAGCTGAATGATTAAGCCTTAAAAGTAATGTTCTGCTTGGAAACATATGGAAGATGAATTCTGAAATTTCGAATTGTATTATTTGGCTTGACAATTAGACAAGGGTGATGGGAAATGGACTAACTATATTTTGACCTTTAAAGCATGTTTGAAGAAAATCCAATACATCAAAATACCACAAAAATTTAGAATATTTTTTATATTATCTAATTCATATGCTGTTTAGAATTGAATATGTGTAAGAGATAGTCTTTTTGTTTTAAAATAGTACTCAATGTACTGAAAGGTAATCCAAACTTCAGGGCAATATCTTTCTTACGTAACTGACCATTTTCAACATCATTAATGATTTGGATTTTTGTTGACAACTCTATTAGCCTTCTTTTTCTCATGAAAGAACACGCCAACTGAAGTAAAGCAATAAAGCTCTTTTAAAATTATAAAATTTCATTTGTTTACGGTACTCAGTCTTCAGAATTAATTCATTTATTCTATTCTGTCTTAACGTATTATTGAATATATTGGATTATCTTCATTTCAGTGGAGCCATGAACATTGTCTTAAATTCAACATTTGTCATTTTCATGGCATTAACCTTTTCAAATTACATTTCATTGTTTTTAATTTTTTCACAATAAAATTTGAAGTTTGCAATCTAATTTTGAAAATTTAATGCAGAAATTCAAAACGAGTATTTAACAATACATAACCTGTAAAAATGACTGAAGAAATAAGACAATATTCAAATTCTGAAGAAAGAAAGTGAACCTACCGGTTGATTTGAAGAAGGAGAGGCGCTTGAGCCAGCACCTGTAACAAAAACATTATGAATAATGATAAGAGTACATTGCTGAATGATGAGTTTACTGTTTGCTATTCTAGCCTGTGGCTTGAGCAATCATACTTTAGCCTTAGAAATAGGATTTTTTTTTAGCTTAGCCAATCAGTTATAGTGTTCACAGCTCACCGTTATAATTTGAGTCTCCATATCTATGTGTGTCCAAAATTATCCGTCATTGAATGTTAAAAAATGAGGAGTCATGGATTTAAGACACTCTGTGATATATAAAAAGGACTTGTACCGGAAAAGTGAAGTATTTTTAAAGGAATTAAGCTATTTTCGTACATTTTAGTACTTCTGAAGACTTTTAACTAGAGATTAAAATCAATGACCCAAAACGGCGCACCATTGAAGTTTCTTCATAAACAGACAATCTAAATACACTTATAGTAATATCTAATTCAATGAAGTCCTTATGGTCAGTTTATGGGTATTTAACAATGCTATTAATATTGTTATCCTACCTGACATGTAAGCGCCTTGTGATTGACCGGGCAGAGAGGGAATTTCAGAAAAACTTTGATTGCTTGATTCATTGGCATGTAAGCCTACAGGATATAAACCAACAGTTTGTTCGCGCAAACTATTGAAAAAATCATCATCATTTGATTCACCACCGAAACTTGAAAGACTGTTATCACCACCCTGAGCAC